AAGCGTCGAATTGGTTCCACCATTACTTGATACTTGGATATAAACTTGGAATACACTCCTGCCATGCCGAGTAACCTTTCAACCTCTTTTATATTTGTGGGAGCCCGTAGATTAGTGATAGGTGTAACTTTATCCATGTCAGCATGGACACCCTGATCAGAGACAATGAAACCTAAGAAATTGATTTGATTTAGCCCAAATTGGCACTTTTCAATGTTGATGGTCAAATTGGCTTCCCTCAGTCTCGTTAGGAGTTTGCGTAACTGGAGCACATGATTGTCAAAGGTATCAGAGAACAGTATGGTGTCGTCTTGATAAGCGATAGCAGTTCTGTATCTCATGTCCCCGAGTACCTGATCCATTAATAATTGAAAGTGTGCTGGGGCATTTTTCATCCCCATGGCCATCGTGTTAAAAACATATGTAGAGTTAGGTGTTACCAGGGCACTCTTGGGCTTGTCAGCAGCAGCAATGGGAATTTGAAAATAGCCTGACAGGAGATCTATTTTTGAAAAATATTTTGCGTTGCCCAGAGACTGCAGTGCATGATGGAGGTTGATAAACGGATACTTGATAGTCTTTGTGATCGCATTTAGTTTGACGTAGTTTCCGCATATGCGAAGAGAGCCGTTTGGCTTAGGGACCGCTGTTACTGGGAAGCCCCAATCCGTGAAGTTGACTTTGCTGACAATTCCATTGCGTTCCAGTTCAGAGAGCTTGGCGTCGATCTTCGATTGTATGTCAGGATGGTAATGTCTTGGTCGAATGTAAATGGGAGGATGGTCTCCCGTGTCGATGGTGAATTCCATTTTGGTAGTAACTGAGGGCTTGTCCGAGTCTTTGCGTAATAATTCTTTGAACTCTTGTAATACATCTTGTATCCGAGCATCTTGGGAATCGGTTAATTGGATGTTACAACGCCTCGTAGCTGTGGTCTCGTAATGTAAGTTTATAAGATGATTGTCAGTTTGTAGTGTGAACATTTTGAGTTTAGTATTCATATTGACCTGAAATCTGCACATGAAATCCCAGCCGATGATAGCCTGACGAGCCAAACCGCGTATAACATGAAATTTCGTTTCGTAACCAAAAAGATTCAATTTAGTAATACCCATCGTTTGTGCTGTACGATTGTTCACGTCTGTGTAACTGATGATCTGATTGTTGTCTATTGTCAACTGCAGTGTAACGCATGTGTCATAATCCATGGCAGTGATAGCAGAACCTGTGTCCCATAATGCATGAATAGTGTGATCTCCAATGACGATTTTAGTTGTGGGAGTGAAACTGTCATGTTGAGTGGTTCGAATAGCATGCATGGAAGTAGCACGAATGTGATTAAGAGGAACCGGGGACCCCAATTCCATTAATCCTGAGTCATCCTCTGGGTGTTCAATAGTGTCTGTCTGATGCACAGAGGATGCCTGTGTGGGACATTCGTAATTTCGATGTTCGCCGAAGCAGTGACCGCAGACAGGATGTCCTTGTTTGTTGTATAATCGAGGTACAGGATCCGGAGGAAATCGTGAACGAGGTTTGGAATTGAATGACTTTTTGCTATTTCTGAATGGTCTTTTAGTACTTTTGTCTTTGTACGAGTTTGAGCTATTAACATAATCAACTTCCATTGGGTCATCCATCGTGGATTGAGTGTGGGATCCCGATAAGTGTGCTTGTTCATCAGTATTATCATTGAGCCTAGCCTTGTGTTCAAAATCGATGGCCTTCGTGATAACTTCTTGCACCGTTGTGACCTTAGCGAGTTCTACATACGCTGTTAATGTAGCACGTAATCCTCTGTCGTGTAGCGATTGAGTAAATAAAGATATTTGATGAGCATCCGAGATATGATTATCCGGCAGCAGACTTAGCAAATGTTTCCATTTAGCACTATGTAGTTTGATGGACTCCTGCTTGGGTTGTTGACATCGCTTCAAATTGGACTTGAACTCTCGATATTCCTCGTCGGCAGGACGACCAAATTGTAACAGCATTTGTTCAGTTACGTTGGCCCAGTTTTGTCTGACTGAGGAAGGTAAGGTAGGTAACCAGTTTTTGATGACGGGAGGCATGAAGCGACCTAGTTGGACGGTACAGATATCCATGTTTTCAATGCCTACGAAATTTGCCTGTAATTCAAATTCTTTGATGTAGGTACGTAAGCTAGAATGCAATTCATACCGTGGCATGTCAATAGACTTGACCTTTTCAAGGTTCATGTATTGGATGAACTCCTTGGTGTTGGAATCGGCCATGTTAACGGACTGTGGGGTGGTGTGATAAGATGATGTGATAGACGAGGTACTGTTTGTTGTGGTGTAAACCTTTCGAAGGGATGCGATAAATTTTACTTGCTGCGTGAAGTAGTTTTTTGGTTCTGTTGTTCGGGCCTGTTTGCGAGTAGGTGATTGCAGCTGTGTGCTGGAGCGATGTTTTGTGATCTTGCGATATGTGTGATCTTGCGATATGTGTGATTTGGTGTAGTCGAGTGTGAGCCTTTGATATATCTAGTGGTTTCCGGGTTCGAGAATTCAGTTAGGGAGCCTCACCATGTATTGTTCAGGAATAAAGGGACCACTATAATATGTAGGAAGAAGAAAGACTGACGTTTATTGATGTGGATGCTTGGATCTTTATACCATTGATATGGTGTTACACGACATTTTTCTGTTCAAGATTGGGCAGATTTCGTCTTTTTTCGACTTCTTTAATCTATTCTATGATGTTCGACTATATAAATTGTGTTGATCAGCCTATGCTTCCTAATACATCAAACCCTCTCCTCTACCTCCTCCTCACTCTCTCCTCTCCGGCCGGCTCAATGGCTCTCCTTCTGGAGAATCTCAATCCCCCTGGCTGCTCGCACGGTCTGGTACCGAGCTATTTACGAAAAAATCCCTTCAAGAGCTCTGCTACATTTACGCATCCCCGAAAAACACCCTTCTCCCCTATGTACCATCTGCTCTGCCTCTACCACGGAGGATATCACCCATACTCTGTTCTCCTGCCCTCCCAAGTTATTGGTCTGGCGACACATGTACCACACCTATCTCTCTGCTTCTTCCTCAATCTCTGATGTTGATCTGATTCATTTCTTCCAACAAATATTACTCTGCTCCTCTCCCTATCTTGATCGTGATCTCTCTCTCTCGTTCAATGATCTCTCTATTCCTCAACTTTTCGCAACTACTCTGCTGACAATATGGCAAGCGCACTGGCGCTGGATCTTCGACCGAACCCCGTTCATCGCTGACACTGTTCAACATCGTCTTGCTCGCTCTCTTGCTCGCTTGGATGCCGAGTTAAAGCTAGATTCGTAAGTATTCAGTTTTTCCTCTTTTATCCATTTGCTCTTTTCTATCTGTTATTTTTATTTTTTTCTTTCGTTCCTCCGATCCTCTTGTAATCATACCCAGTCTTTCCTATCACTCATAGCGACATTTGAAGGACTTAAAATAAAAAATGGAGCTCGGCTCCCCTACAAAAAAAAAAAAAAAATGCTTCCTAATACAGCCCCTGGTGGTAGGGCGAAGTGGTAAAACTCCCGTATGCCAACGGGAGGATCCCGGTTCAAATCCCAGTGAACGCATTTTGATTAATTATTTACGGTCGTACTGATGTCCTCGTTTGGTGAATGTTCTCTTATCCAGTATCTCTGTATGACAACTTAGCATGATTGTATTGGCTCTAAGTGCCCACCTTATTTGTAGTAGATTTCTTTCCCAACTTCCTTTCCATAATTTATTCCCCATCATGACTGACATTGGGTCCACCAACAGTCTTGTCTATCACTCATAGCGACATTTACAGGACTTTAAATAAAAACTGGAGCTCGTCTCCCCTACAAAAAAAAAAAAAAAAAAAAAATGCTTCCTAATACATTCTTGAAGTACTTTTCAAGGCGCTTCCAATGGTGCTAATTGTAATAGCTGTTTTGACTGAAATTATTGAGCAATTCGGTAAAATATGAAATGAGGTTTTTTGCGAAAATAGCCATATTTTGCATATGAAAACCTCATAAAAGTAGTTTCAGAGATGACTTTGGATCGAGAGAAACATTTTGATCCAATATATGCCATAGTAAAAGTCTTCATTTTCAAGGTCAAAAATGCAATCGTTTGATTTTCGTCAAAAGCTATGAGGTGCCCCTCATGGTTTTTTGGTCAATTTTTGGCCATGTTTTTTTTTGGTCCAAAAAGTTGAGCAAAGGTGTCAGGAAGTTACTACTACCCAAGTACAATTGTTTGGCGTTATTCCGGTGAGTCAGAAGCATCTACATGTCAAGATATGAAGGCTTGAAAGCTGTCAAATCTGGCTGTCTTTTATACATTTGCTTGTGTGCATATACTCGGCATGGCCCTTGGGATCATACAATGAAGACTATATACAAAAGATGAGCAAATGCATACCAAATTTGAATACCCAAATGGATGCGTGATGCTCATTTTTCTTTGCTTAAAAGAAAACATTCTCAGGTGATTTAGTCTTTCATTGCATTCGTGTTTCTGGAAAGTCTGTTGCCCAGACATGATATACTTCAAAAGGCTTATCGCAGCTGAGATGTAATTGCGCAAGGACCAATCTTGGGTTCATCCATTATCAGGGCACTGCTCTGGTTCAACCGCAATCCTAAAATGCATTTGCTGATATGTAAATCAATGCATTTAGACTTTTTTCGCCTGCAAAAGAATTCCCGCAAATTATGTAATGAGCTCTTGTATTAAAAACTGTTGATTAACAAAATCTTAATTGTGAATCAGGTCATCAAATGTAGCGCAAACAAAGGTGAAATAATGCTTTTATCCATCTTATCATGCAGTGGTTATTTGCGCAAATGAATCAAGACGGGGCCCTTCACATATATTGGGTTTTCCATGTATGAGGTAAATGCCCCCCCCCAAAATACCATATGTTGAGTTCCAATAGATTGGAAAATTTTGTTCATCTTTGCATTTCTCTTCTTTATTTCTGTCTTTGTCTCGACTTGCGCTTTGACGATCATGACGACCAGCAAACTAAGGATCTTGTGTCTTCATGGATATACTCAAAATGCCACCATGTTTCGCACGAAAACAGCTGTCGCTCGTAAAAGTGTCGAAGATTTGGCTGATTTTGGTAAAGCATAATGCAAACATCTTTACATTCGTCGATTGACAAACTTGCTAGTATATATCACTGGACCACATCATATCAGCCCACCAACGTATTCTACTATCACAGAAAGAGAAGAAGCAGCCAAAGAAGAGTCATCTGAAGGTAATCAGTGGATGTGTCTGTATAAAATCCTCCAATGCTTACAATTATCATTTGAGCAGAGCACAAACCATTTGGATGGTGGTACTCTCCTAAATATAAACCCACACAGAACGGATTTTTTGTGGGGTTCAAAGAGTCGATCGATTATGTGAAAGATGTGTTGGTAAAAGAGGTATCAAACACATACTTGTTAGATGTAAATATGGAAAGACTCATTTGGGCGGATAGGGACCATTTGATGGCATTATGGGATTTTCACAAGGTTCGCATGAATCGTAATTAACAATAACGCTCTTGATCTGACCCGAATCTTGCAACAGGTGCTTGCTTTGCTGCACTCCTGACTGAGTTGTTGGAAGACAGAACATACTTTCCTGATTTGATCTCTCCAACATTTGAACATCCACCCTTCAAATTCTCAATCATTGTTGCAGGCTTCAAGCCCACAATGCAAGAGGCAACCAACATCATGCTGAACAAAGATAAGCCAGTAAAAACACCTAGCATGCATTTCATTGGTGATTTAGACACACTAGTATTACCCGAGGCAATGATATCTCTATCCGAGACGTTTGAAAATCCAACCATCTTCCGTCATACAGGAGGGTAAAGAAATTAATTGCTTGTGAAATTCATACTCAAACTCAAACACTCACTGTATGATTTCTGTAGACATTACCTACCATCCAACTCATCCAGCAGAAAAGAACTCGAGAAATTCATCACTCGATTCATGACAAATCCATAGAATGTTGTGGATCAAGTAACATCTAGATGATTGCTAAATAAAGTAAAGAATAAACAATCACAAGAATTTGACGGTCAAAAGATGGATGGCTTTGAATCATAATACAAGAAAATTTTTTTTACATACAACATCTCTCTTTCTCTTTGTACAAACGTAGCTGCTGCTGCTATTAAACACAAGGCCTTTGGTGCTCCGATTTTTCAAAAATTAAAGAGACTCCGTTACTACTTTTGCACAATCATACAAACACTTTTGATATCATTGTATAACAAGGCAGAAAAGCACACATTTCACCCTCAAGAAGCATCTGAAGACTCACCTTTCGATACAAGTTTTTCTGCTCATCCACACCCCAATCCGAAGAAATTTTTTTGAAGTTGGACTTGCTTGCTGCGAAAAAAATTTAAAACAAAAAAACGAAAAAAAGAAAGACATCTCTCTTCTCTCTCTCTCTCTCTCTCTCTCTCTCTCTCTCTCTCGACGAAAATAACAACATTGCTTTGCAATCTAAAAGATGTAAGTAGTAGCCCAGGAAATAAAAACTCCTCTGGAAGCACTGACATTGACAATTCGCCTTTTGCAGCAATTTAAATTCACTCCAAAATGCAACAATTCACACCTTACTTTCCTGGTTTTGATGGCCAACAGCAGCAAAATCAGAATCAGAATCAACAACAGCCTCAGAACAACCAAGTACAGCAGACACAGCCTCAGCAGCCCATGTCATTGAGTGGTACTAATCTTGCCATCTACAGTCCTGCCGCTATGCCTCCTTTGTCTGTACTGGCTGCCACCCAAGTCAAGATGGAAGAGCAACAGCAACAACAGCAACAGGGTCTAGACATTGGGGCTCATGGCAAACCTAAGAGAAAGCAGGTCAAGAATGCATGTGGTAATGTATCATGTGGATGATGGCACAAACAATGCTGTATACTGATGACATCCCTAGTCAATTGTCAAAAGGCCTGTAAGAAATGTGATGTGGGTAGACCATGTCAAAGATGCATCAAGTATGGATTGACAGAAACCTGTGTCAACTCGGTTCGTAAGGAGCGTAAGAAGGGTGTTAAGCGTGGACCTTACAAGAAGAGAAACAAGAATGGTATGTTGCCTATCTCGAAAATCTAAGTTTGGGTATTAATTTGTGTAATTTTTTAGTTACTGACAGTGTCACTTCATCTGGTGCTTCCACGCCCATGCCAGCCTCTGTAGTCAACGCCAACCTTTACACTCCTCCTACGCAAACAAACGGTGCCAGCACTCCTGCTACTACTTCAACCGCCACCACGCCTACCACTTCCAACACAATGCCTATCCACTATCAGCCTTTCCAAACCACTCAAGCCTACGATCCTTACGGCTACAACGGAAGCAATGCCATGATGCCTCAAGCTTATATGGTTCCCAACAACCTCGCTCAAATGTATCCTACCAATCCCCCCGTTTTATCTTATCAAGCTGCTATGAACATCATTTCACCTCAACAGCAACAGCAATCTCCTGTTCTCAACAATGGATTCAGACAAGATCAACAATCCCCTGATCCAAATGCCAACAATAGTGCTGCTGCCACTCCTACCAATTCCACTCCCGCAGCTACCGATGGAAACATGGCCAAAGTGGAAGAAGATGACGATGATGAGGGATCAAAATTGACCATTCTATCTCAACTTTGCAGTTCTGTGTTGGCCAACAATGATGGCGCCAAACCTGCAGACACGTTGGACGAAATCAAGGCCGAAGAGACACATCAAAACACTCCTCCTCCAAGTCGTCCTCACTCTCGTGAAGCCTCTCATGAAAACAACATCATCACTGGAACCAGCTTCACTGCTGATTCTGCTCACACTTATGTCAATAGCCACTTGTCTCATGTCACAAACAGCAACACCAGTGCACCCAACAGTGTTTATGGTACACCTGGCTCATCTCCTGCTGGATCTCCTCTTCAGCAACAGGCTCAACAACAACAACAACCTCAAGCGCAGCAACAGTAACGAGTTATATATTTTATCTAGTTGCTTTCAAATTCAATTTTTTCGTTTTATGAACAATCTACAAATAACCTGCCTATTGCATTAATGAGAGAGTGATTCGTTATAACGCTATTAGACATTTTTATATATATATTTATATATACTTTTTTTTTTTTTTTTCACCATCTTTTCTTGGGTGCTTTTGATATGTTTTCCTATACGAATCTTATTTCGAACCGTATCTCTCTTGATCAATGTCAATGTGTGCACATGAACATTTGATGTAGGTTTTTGCCTCCTTTTTCTCTGAATAAAGTCATATCTCAACTGCTTATTAGTGTGTAAATATTTTATTTATGATACAGGCGTCTATATGAAAGCAAAAAGTGCAATAGAAAGGGGAGGAAATCATTTAAGCAGTGGCGGAAGGGCCAGAAGCTGCTGTTGCTGGTGCTGTTGTAGATGGTGGTGTTGAGGGTGATGCTTCTTTGACAATGGTAGCCTTGGCGGGAGAGAAACCAGCACCAACAATAGGTTTAGCACCACGTTCAACCATTTCAACCTTGACGGGCAGCTTATGAGAAGCTAAACGGAAAGCTTCCTTGGCAATTTCCTTTCTCATACCACTGATCTCAAAGATGATACGGTTCAAAGGAACACGACAGGCCCAGTATTCAAAAGTACCCTTACCCTTACCCATACGAACTTCATTACCTTTGCTGGAGACAGGAATATCAGGGAATACACGCATCCATAATTGTGAACCCTTGACAGGCTTGATTTTACGCTTGAGAGCATTGTGAACAGCTGTCAATTGACGACCTGTAAGACGAGCTCCCTCCTTAACTCGCAAACCGTAATCACCGAATTCAACTGTGGTTCCCTTGGTAGATCCACCGATGGGAATTGGGATCTTACCCTTGTGTGCTTTACGGTATTTGGTACGCTTTGGTGAGAAATTGGATGCAAAACGGACAGTTTGTGTGATGGCAGCAGGTTGACGTTGAAAGACGTTGCTGATAATGCTGGAAGTAGTGTTGTAGGTGCTCAAGGCATTCTTTCTAAAGGCTGAAAACATACTTGTTGTATACAAAGTGATGTGGAGAAGGGTTCAGATGAAAAAAATGAACTGAGAGGGGAGGGGGGACCTTGTTACCATCACATTTTGTGGCAGCGATCATTCAACTACCGCGTTCAAATCATCAAACCTGATCTGCCTCACATTTGACAGCAGCTTTAGTGAAGCAAGCATGTTGTTGTCGTCTACAGCAAAGCTAGTGCTTTCGGCTGTGATCAGTTGCTTTTGAACAACCTATAGCAGATAAACCAAGAGCCGTTATTGTCAAATAGTGGGTGCTGGTTTAAATTTACATTGGTGATACACGTTGACCATTTTCAAAATGTAAATCTACAGCGACGTGAAGCATCTTGAAGCTTATAACAGCAAGATGTGTAAGAGATTGGCTTCTCAATAAAGAGTTGAGCTTTTTAGGTTATAATACCTTTACTTTTATCTCCCAAAACTCTGGTATCATAGGAATAATAATAATAATAATAATAAAAAAAATTGCATTGATGCTTTAGACTGACGTCTCTTCTTTGGAGTATGCTAACCTCGCTCCTCAGAGGCAGAGTGAGGGCTGGCACAAGCACAATCTCTGTTCATTCACAAACTGAGATCTCATTGTGCCGTGCTACACAAGATCGCACTGTACAGAACAAGGCTTGCTCTGTTCTTCAATGCCACCATCTCGCCATCAAATTTTTAATATCGATGTCCAATCAAGTTCTGCTCGTGGTACAGAAATGTATCTCACACCCTCTGTACCTTTCATTTCCAATTTTCTCACCCTTTTCTTCAATTGATTTTTAGTATTCCTGATGTCTTCAATCACCATTGACAATATCATTCAAGCCAGCGAGCGTATTCAAGTCCATAGAACCCCTGTTCAAACATGCACAGCTTTGGATGACCTCGCTTCAGAACCAGATGCACCTGTGGAACTCTTTTTCAAGTGCGAATTGCTACAAAAAACGGGATGTAAGTTGTAAGCACCAACACTCACAAGATAGAAGTGCCAATCAGCTTTCCAAAGCATTCAAATTTAGAGGTGCAAGCAATGCTGTCGCACTCTTGAGCGACCAAGAGGCAGCTAATGGTGTTGTAACACATTCTAGTGGCAATCATGCACAGGCTTTGGCTTTGGCAGCTAGAAACCGAGGCATTCCTGCTTACATTGTTATGCCAACAACCACACCAGACATCAAAAAGGCAGCAGTACTTGGCTTTGGAGCCAACATCATCGAATGCCAGCCTATTCAGGCTGTGCGCGAGAAAACTGTAAGTTTTATTTACTTTTGTAGATCATCCTCAATGACGCTGAACCAACCTTTCTATTTGTAGGCCGAGGAAGTCAGATTAAAGACAAACGCTACCTTGATTCACCCTTTCAACAACCCAAATGTCATTGCTGGTCAAGGTACAATCGCTCTCGAATTGCTTTCTCAAGTGAAAGATCTCGATGCTATTGTAAGTGGTTCAGTCAATGTGCTGTTGGTTCTCGGTTAGCTTTGGGAAAACTTACTTGTACATTATAAAAGCTTATTCCTGTAGGCGGTGGTGGGATGCTTACCGGCATGTCTATTGCTGCCAAAGCATTGAAGCCAGGTATTAAAGTGTTTGCTGCTGAACCAGCCGCTGTGGATGACACTTATCGATCGTTTACTAATAAGGAGCGTGCCACAAACGAGATAGCCAAGTCCGTGGCTGACGGCTTGTTGACGAACCTTGGTGATATTGCCTTCTCTGAGATACACAAGAATGTAGATGGCGTCTATACCGTTTCAGAAAAGGAGATTATTCGTGCAATGGAGCTGGTTTGGGGTCGAATGAAGCTTTGCATTGAAGCCAGTGCAGCTGTTGGTGTAGCCGTTGCTTTGTACAATCAGGACTTTAAAGAGATTGTGAAGAAGGAGAGCATCCAAAGAATTGGTGTTGTACTTTGTGGTGGCAATGTTGATTTAGTAAAGGCTACAGAGCTTTTCCAAAAGTACAGAGAATAAAATAGAGGTAGCTTGACCCTTGCATCAGAATGGAATAGTAATGATGGCCGTTGCAAAAGGTTTCGGTAAGATAGTTTCATAATGATGGTGCGTTGGGCTGTCCAATGTGTATAACGTCAATGCGCTACTTTGGACTATTTGGTTGGGTGTACCTATTCCGTAGCACAAATCGCATTGATGCAGTTGAATATGAAAACATCTCGATCGCAATCATGATGAATGGGTGCACAGATCGATCACATCACGATGTTCACCACAGTCTTATTCGATTCTCACGAAACTGTGATCTATTTATTGTTTGTATGCCATCTGGCCATGTGTAAAAAGTTGAATATAACGATTAAATTTCTTTCATGTATCCTCCAAAAGCATGTTATCCATCAATGGGCAATCAGAACCACAGCAAAAGATCGACTATTCTCAATTTAGAAAAATATGCATTTTTGTCTTTTGATTTATGGTGCAAACGATATTATTAAAGCAACAATTTATGCAATCGCTTAATGTGATCGCATGCACACTCACAAATCTGTTTTAGGGCAGGAGATGAGAGAAAAGTATACACTTTTTTTTTTATTGAAAGAATAAAATGCTAAACGAATGGAGGAAAAAAAAAAAAAAAGAATTGCATTGATTGCACCTATTCTTGGAGAATCATCTTTTGAGAGGAAGTGGGAGACTTTTCAGCATTGGAATCAATAGGCAATCTGTTCCAATAACGCTGTTGAATGATGCCATCCTTGAAGAGGGTTTGTAAATCGCTTCCAGCATCGCTGGAAACAAAGACACCAATCTCTTTTTGCTTGGGAGTGCTAATATTAAGAGCTTCACTGGGCAATTGAGCAGCCTTCAACAAAGTTGTAGCACGACCAGAAGCAGCAATAGGTTTACCATGACGGTAAGCATCCAACAAGAAGACAGAAGGTTCATTGTAAGGGAAAGCAGAGACGCTATCTGTCAACAATTGGAAGGCACTCTTTTCTCCAGAAGGCACATAGACAGCATCGTAGAGCACAGAAGATGTAGTAAGGAAAGTGTGGTTGGTAAGAATACCGTCTTGCTCACCCAACTTGAAGCCAACATACTCGGGATAAGCACCTTCTTTCTGGAGGAAATCAAACATGGTTTTAGCTTCAGAGACATCGATGCCTGGGGCAGTGAAGATGGCCACCTTCTTAGCACGGATATGGTTAGGCTTGGGATAGTTTTCAATGGATAAACCTTTAGAGGTCTTCTTGTCATTCTTTGTAACAGGCTTGGGCTCTGGTACACCCAGACCATAGGCAACACGGACGGCAAAATTGTTATCGACATGATTGAATACTTGCACCATTCTCTTGCGGACGTCATTGTCAGCGCATTTGCCAATTTCAAAGCGAGCAGCATCGACCAACTGTTGTTGCTCAGGAGTAGTTAAACTGTTCCAGAAGAGAGTAGCTTGAGAGTAGTGATCAGCAAACTTGCCACCTTTGCCTCTTTGCTTATTGGCATTGAGATGCTCGGGATACTCCAAGTAGCCATCAGTCTTGTTATTGGCCATAGCGGGTGTGTTGTCTTGCATCTTATTTGGAAAGTAGGCGACCTTACCCTTGTAAACATTGCGTTGCATGTAACCATCACGTTGGTTGTTGTGGACGGGGACCAAGGGCTTGTTGATGGGCAATTGGAGGAAGTTGGCAGAGTTCATTCTGTTGATTTGAGTGTCAAGATAACTGAACAAGCGACCTTGCAAGAGAGGGTCATCGGTGAAGGTGATACCTGTGCGTAGTCCATGTGTTAGCATCGCGTTGGTATGAGAGAGAATGTGTGCATTTACCTCTGACGACGTGTCCCATATGGAAAGTAACTTGCTCGGTTTCGGAAAAGAAGTTCTCCACATTGCGATTCAATGTCATCTTACCGAGCTTGGTAACAGGCACAATGGACTCTGGAATGATCTTGGTAGAATCGAGCAAATCAAAGTCAAAGCTGTCTTCGTCCTCAGGCTTCACGATCTGGACACCAAGTTCATATTCGGGATAGTCTCCTTTTTCAATGGCAGTGTACAGATCGTTACGATGATAGTCAATGTCTTTACCAGCGATCTTCTGAGCTTCGTCCCACACCAAGTTGGACAAACCTTGCAATGGCTTCCAATGAAATTTGACAAATACAGTTTTGCCTTCCTCATTGATAAATCTGAACCTAAAGTTTGATAAATTATAAAACATTGGTCAATATGACGCCATCATCAAATCATCCGTATGAAGTTATGTTTACGTACGTATGAACTCCAAACCCTTCGACTTGTCGGAAACTTTTGGCAAGACCACGGCCTGAAAGAACCCACATGACAGTATGAATACTCTCTGTATGTTCAGCAAAGAAATCATACGAAGTGCAGTGCGCAGTTCCTGCTTGAGGGACTTCCTTGTCTGGCTCAGGCTTGCCTGCATGAATCAAGTCTGGAAATTTGATAGCATCTAGTACGCTTATATTAAAATCATAGTTTCATCACTACTGCATCAACCAAGAAACATACCTTGGATAAAGAAGGGTGCAATGACGTTACCGACTGTCATAATCATGCTACGTTAGTACCATGTTGTACATGGGTGTCCTTTTCCATCTTACCAAGATCAAAGTTGCCTTCGCCAGTGTAGAATCGTGTAGCAAAACCGCGAACATCGCGCACTGTGTCAGGAGATCCTCTTGAGCCCAATACAGTGGAGAAACGAACAAAGGTAGGCGTCTTAACATCAGGATCCTGAAGGAACTTGGCTGCAGTGATGTTGGACCAGTCTTTATAGGGTTGGAAGTAGCCGTGAGCACCAACGCCTCTTGCATGGACAACACGCTCAGGAATTCTAAAGCAAAGTGACAGATGTTAGTGCATGCATCATGGAGCCATCCGTAGTAGATAAATGAGACATACCTTTCGTGATCTGTAGAAAGGAGGAGAATGGGTAGATACATTTAGTATCGATGACCAGCCTCAGCAGCATTCAACTTACCAAAATGCATAATCTTCTCTCTCAATTGAAAGTCTTCTAAAAGCGTGGGGCCTCTTCTGCCGACAGTTAGACTGTCAGTGTTGTTGATTTTGGCACCAAAGTTGGTAGTCTCAGTGGTGCCAGCATCAACGACATAGGCATCACCAACCGGGTCTTTTTGAGCCAAGCAGCATTGAGCTACCACGGTGAGTGGAATGATAAAACTAACTAATTTCATTCTAAAATGTAAGGATAATGTAAAGAGAAAAGAAGAAAAATGTAGACAAACATTTGCATTGATGGCCTTTTATAGCAACTTGTTGATCGATGCGGTGCGCTTAGACCTCTCTATCCTTCCATGCGTTATAATTGACAACCGCCCATCACTCCAGAATGTAGCAATTCTCAACCCTTGTCAGACTTTTGCAGCTAATCCAAATCCAGCTGGTTACTCACTCAATCGCTTAGTTCTGGTTTATTAAGAATCGTGCTTACTACCATTATATGTACCGTTTAGCTGCCCGGATTTTTCCACATTGCCTCAAATGTGCCACACACATTCGATAGGCCCTTTAAAGATAGAGAGCCCATAATAGATACTTAAAAATAGGCCAATCATGATCACAAACTAAATATAAATTATTAAATTTGACCTTCTCAAGTACCCCTATTTCTATTTTATTTTTTATTTTTCTTCTTTTCCCTATACAACGTAGCCAAATATGAGTGAAGTTACCAGATATTCATTAGAAGATCAGCAGCAACAGCAGCAACCCTATCCAGCACAGCAACAGCAACAGCAACAGCCACCTCAAGTGCCCTCACATGAGCCATTTGATATTTCTCCTACACCTTCAAAATCGGTTCATCGCTCAAAGACAGTTCGTAACCTTAACTCTGCAGGAAGTAAGATGAGAGGTTTATTCAAGACTAAAAACACCAAAAACAAGGAATCCTCTACATCGTCCAATAGCAGTGGTGATGATAATACTGGTTTCTTGACCAGACCTATCTTGGCGACGTCTGCTTCTTACGGCCCAACAAGCGCAAGCGACAACTTTCATTACCAACACCAGCAACAGCAATATGCCCCACCTCCACCACAGACACAGCCGCAAGTACAGGCACAGTTGCAGCAACAGCAACAGCAGCAGCAGCAGCAGCAGCCTCATCAAAAGCAAGGTACGCAGATATTTGTTCATATTGATGTTCCTTTATTTATAACCTTGTTTTTATTTATTTCTCCCCTTTTTCTCTCTCTCTCTTTTTCCCTCTCTAAATTGCAGAAGATCGCTTTGATATGAATATCACCGAGAATGAAGTCAAATCCAATATTTCACCTGTAGATGAGGTTGATCAGAACCAACAGCACCAGCAACAGCAACAACAGCAACAACAGCAACAACAGCAACAACAGCAACAACAGCAACAACAACAACAACAGCAGCAACACATGAATTTTCAACTGGAATTAGAACAGCTAAACGAACTCATTGCTCAAAGATCTTTAGAGATGCAGAATGAAAAGAAGAACAAGGAGCGTCTTCAGAACGAGCTCAACGAAGCCCAACGCATCTTTAAAGAGAGAGAAGCTGAATACTCTAGCATTGAACACAGCTTCTTTGAGCACACACGTGCTATTCGAGCCACTGATGATGATCTATCCACCATTCGCGACTCTTTCAAACTGCTCAAATACTCCATTGCTCGTTTGATCATGACCTTGAACAAGAAGGCTGATAAAGCCAAGGCTGCCGAGAAGTTTTGCCAAACGTGGCCCAATCTACCCATTTTGGATCCCACCACAAACGAGTTGGAGCCTTCCTTTGTCAACTTGCTGGCCGAGAAGTTGGTGCATGAACATTTGGTCAACTATGTCTTTAAGTCACCCATTTATCCTGGACTCAAGGTCAACGACGCCTATTACGCCTTACACACATGGCTCCAACAACACAACTCTCAGTTCTCAGTGCGCCTCAGACAACAAATGGCCGCTGTTGTTGCAAAAAGCAAGCCAGAGACAGAGATTCAGCAGGCTGCTCAGAAAGAAAAACAGGCTATCGCCAAGAAGATTTACGATGATTTAGCAGATATTTACCATCCATTTTTACGTGAAAACGATGCTGCTGTGGAGGAGGAGAAGCGATACTACAACAAGATCTGCGATATTGTGGATAAAGCGCTCAAACTATGCATCGCTATTCGCGGCCAGGAAGTGGAGATTACAACTGTGGCTATCGAGGAGGGCAGCAAGCAGCCATTTGAAGAGGAAACCATGACAGAAGTGAAGGGCAGGACAAATGGCTTGGTCCGATTCTGTATATGTCCTACATTTATGGGTGGTGATCGTGAACATGGTTTTCTTGAAAAGGGGAAAGTGGTTATTTCGGGCTAAAGTGTGGCCCTCTCTCATTCTTTCAAATAAATAATTTATTGCTCTCATGTGTTACAAGAAAAAAAAAAAGGGCTGTAAAGCACAGCAGATTTGTGTATGTAGTGGTATTCTCTTTTGTCCTTTTTTCAAGTAAACACTCTTATTATATATGTCTCGAGAAAATACGCCCGTTTCTCCTCAACCAGATCATTACAAATACAACTCATTCAACAGAGGTGAAAACAGCGTGCGTTCGGTGGATTCCACCTCCAATCTTTACCGAGCTCCCTTGCCACAGCCCTACCACCATCCCACTCGGCACGCTACCATGTGGGATTTGAATGAATCACAGAGACACCAGCACCAAGGCATACGTCGAGGATCCGAGCAAGTGCTGCAACGATCATTGGCTGCGAGCAATCTCTTCCCATTTCAGCCTATTACAGGTTTCGATCCGTTGATTCCATCCAATGATAACAATACAGTACAACAGATTTTCATTGCTGAGCCAGACGAAGATCCAATGCAACATCTGGTCGTTGTGCCTCTGGGCAAAACAGGGGCAGGTAAATCAAGCCTTTTGAATTTGATCTTGGGCTATGATGAGTTCAAGGCAAAAGCTGCTGCCAAAGTAAGTCTACGCATTTGAGATGAAGCTGACTATCACGGACTAAACCCTCAAACTAGTCTGTCACTGACTGCATTACCGAGAGAACAGGCGTCTGGGCGATCGATCAAATAGAGACCATTATCACTGTGGCTGATACGCCTGGATTTGCAGATACCATGCAGAGAGACGCCGAGTTTTTAAAGGTGTTTCAAGATTACATACTCGATCTCGGCGGTCGATTAGGCATTGATGCGTTTCTGCTGGTATTTCAGTGCGATTCAGCAACAAACAAGTAAAGTCTAACTCGAATCTATACATTGCCAGAATTTAATCCGTTTTATAATAGCATCATGTCTATTCTTGACCATTTCAACAGTATGATGCAACAGTTTCAGCCAAACACATGGTGGAATCATGTCATGCTGGTATTCACTCGAGTTGACTATTATCCCAATCTCAAGTTCCCGCCGAATATTCTCAGCAAGAAACAGAGCATAACTGAAACACTGATACCAGACATACAGAAAAAGTTTAATTTGCATTCGCCTCCAAAATATGCCTTTATTAGCAGTAAAGCACCTAATTGCTCCTTTTCCAAAAAGGGTCAATGCGATTGCTTTGCTGCTTCCAAGTACCACTTGGATCAAATGAGGACCTTGAAATCTAGGATCAATTCTATTCTATCAGACAATGGGGGTAGATGGATACCATCTGTACAATAAACACTTTATTTTTGTAACTAATTCAAGGCAATATACTTCACTACTTTCTTATCTGTGAGATCCTCCGGCCAGTATGGAGCATCAGCTCCGTTTCCTCGAGAAGGAAGATTGACCCTGGCTTATTTCACCACTAAAATGAACCACGCATCAATAAGCTCTCGTCTTTGCAGTCGAATCGAAAACCTTTCTGTTCTCAAACAGATTTGGCTGCCACGTGAAAGGGGAGAACTGTCTTTTCAAGGCCGTGAAATGATGAGGAAACATGACGGCCATATTGTGATAATGGCGAAGCAATGGCCTGCCCTGGGACTCCCAGTTTTTTTTTAGACATCATTCTCATAGGTGCCAATGCAATTGCCAAGCCAAATATTGTAATCATTCAATGCACAGCTCTTACCTTAATATCTTTGTTGCCGCATGTCACTAGAATACTAAGCTCTCCAGCTGTTACTAAAGGTAAATATATATGTTTGCTCTTCTTTATTTTTGTAGAAATCACAGGAAAGAAGAGTTTGACATTAGCATGATATCGGTGATGGCTGCAGCGGTATTTGAAATATTTTTTCTTGCTCAAGAAAAATTGATTCAGAATCGACTTGATTTCTCTTTTTGAACGTTTTTGCCAAATTCGACTATATAAATCGTGAGTTTTGTTTCTTATTTTTTAATACAACTACGAAGAACTGATCAAGGCGCATTTAATGGCTCTAATTGCAATTAATCTTTTGACTGAAAATTTTGAGCAATCTACCAGGAAATGGAAACATGTTTTTGGCAGAAATGTCAAGATTTTTTATACAAAGGTCCCGTCAAAACAATTTCTGGTGCTGCGTCAACCCTCTAGGAACAAATTGTTCTAATATATATCATAAGGAAAAATACCGTTTTGGGAGTGAAAATTGCGATCGTTTGATTTTCGGAAATTTTTCCTTGCTAATACTCATGAAAAAATCAAGATTTTCATCGATCTGCACCGACAAAAAAAAAATTGAGATAAAGCTTCAGGGAGTAGCTACTAATCGAGCGCAATCGTTTCGTGCTGCTCTGGCGATCTAAAACAGCCTGTACGACGAGAGATCAGTGCTCAAAAATAGCCAACTTTAGCTGTGATTTGGTATATTATCAAGACTTGAGGGGGGGTTTTACAGTATCAAGTACTAGCCAATCTATCTCGCTACGCTCGATGTCGGCGTCGCCCTGTGGGCTCTCGTCAAAGACATTTTAGATCAGATATTATAACATTTTGGTATATCAAGTAAACTTTAAACAACCAATTATTGGTTAGTAAAAGAAAGGTTATATCAGAGTCAGGAGGAGAAGAGGAGGCATCTCCCTCAGCACCCTTTTTCGCTTACACTGATATCAAACAAAGCCTATTATTGCGACAATCCGAAAGAAAATTCAAATTTTATACAACATTTGTACCTCATGATCGCCATTTTCTGATGTTCTTAATAACATGGCGACATAAAGCCGGCCATAAATAAATACAGGACTTGTGTAAGATCTACAGCGACTTTTTTGAGATACTGTCATTGAAAAAGACACCTTCATGAGGCAAGGCTCCCCAAAAAAGTATTTGTGCTAAGTAATTGCCCTTTCAACTCCATGATCCTCATTTAATCAGTATCGCAATCATCATTGCCATCAACAGAAAGGCATTTAGGTTAGCCAGCAGCAATGCCGCCACCAGAATTAATTCAAATTCAGTTTATTTTTTTATGTTTAAGATTGGACAGATTTCGCTTTTTTTTCGACCTCTTTAATCTATTCTATAATATTCGACTATATTAATTGTGATGATTAGTCTATGCTTCCTAATACATTCTTGAAGTACTTTTCAAGGCGCTTCCAATGGTGCTAATTGTAATAGCTGTTTTGACTGAAATTATTGAGCAATTCGGTAAAATATGAAATGAGGTTTTTAGCAAAAATAGCCATACTTTGCATATGAAAACCTCATAAAAGTAGTTTCAGAGGTGGCTTTGGATTGAGAGAAACATGTTGATCCAATATATACCATAGTAAAAGGCTTCATTTTCAAGGTCAAAAATGCGATCGTTTGATTTTTAGCAAAATCGATGAGTGGATACCTCATGGTTTTTGGTCAATTTTTGGCCATGTTTTTTTTTTGGCCCAAAAAGTTGAGCAAAGGTGTCAGAAAGTTACTACTACCCAAGTACAATTGTTTGGCGTTATTCCGGTGGCTCATAACGGCCTACATATCAAGATATAAAGGCTTGAAAACTATACAATTTGGTTATTTTTTGCTTTATAGAGTTTATTTACACGGCATGAATTACATCTTTGGTAGCTGAAGTCTTCTGGAAGGGCAGTTCTGCAGTCTGTACAACTTCTAATTTGAATAGAAGACATATTGATTTTGGTAAAGCTAACTCATGCATTATGTTGTTGGTAAACGTATTAACAATGGAAATGAGAAACCGAATTTGCTGCTTGAATACTATGGTTTTCCACCTTCACTTCGCTGCGGTAAACCCCTCATTGAGATTAATAGTACCAAATAGTGGGTTAGATGCTTTGTTGCCATGGTTTTGCATCTTCGTCTTGCTATGGTAAAACCCTCTTATAGGTCAATGTTACCAAATGTTGAATTAGATGTGCTATGTCTTTGGTGGATGGGCTTAGCACCTCCTCCAAATCCCCTCCCCAATGCCGGCTTCATTCACTTTATAAGGTACTCAATTCTTTAAATTTTTGAAAGGATATGATTTGTTTGTATAGTTTTTTGAAGGCTTTACAGCATATATAGTGAAGATGGCAGGAAAATATAAAGCCTAAATTGCATGAGCATTGCGACATCCGCCACCACGCCAATTGAAATTAAAGCATCGCGTTTGACCAACTGAGTTCCATCTTTTCTTCCACAACTCGAAACTTTGCTCAACAAGGTTGCGTTTTTTATCTCTCTGAATTGCTTCATGGAATTTTCAGCGGTCATTACAGCAGAAGGGTTTAGAGGTATATGCAGATGATGGGGATGTTGCAGGGAGAAGTGTTGCTGATGCACTGTTGCTTAGTTTTCTCGGGTGCACTACAGGTGTTAGCAGCTCTAGGCGAAGTAGTTACGCTAGAGATACACAATGGACAGGTATGACATCCTGGATCAAAATGACTGAATGCACTCACATCATCTATAGTTTGTGATGAGCACGCTAAATAGCTCTAGAACTGGCCAAGGTGTTGTACATCTTTCTCGAAGTTTTTTCAAGAACTACGCTTTGCTTAGAAGAGGTTCACCAGACACCATTTTACGATGCAATGTATCCAACAAAGTAAGGCTCACAGGAAAGCATTTATGGACTGAAGCTGATTGATTTGACATGCAGAACTTTTACAACATTATTAAAAAGAACATGGGAGGCTATAAATCTATCAAAGAATGCCAACTCAGTGTTACGCAGGGCAACATCCATGCTGCACATCATACAGAGTCGAGGATTTACATGAGAATTCTCTACAAAAATGGAGTGACCAAGAAGAACACGCTTTGGTACTCGAATGGGGATCCTGTTGTGATGTTCTGCAAGAACCAATATGAAAATCGAATAATCTGCCAGCCACAATTGATCAAAGATTTCCTTGTACGATTCGATCACAAAACGCAGGATATTGAATTTACTTGCACTGATCAGGGCCTGGTCCTGATGACCCATCCAGAGAACAGGACGGTATCCACAGGTAAGGGCTCCTACTTCTCATCACAATTACGCATGATAAATTGACCTGTGTGCATGAACAAAACGTAGGAGATCCACCCGTCAAATCCATGTTTCTTATATACAAAGCAGATTTCGACACCTTTGACATCAAGAAGAAAGCCAAACTTGTTATCAATCTAAAAGAATTCAAATCATTTGTGGATTACATTGAATATCTGGGCGGTGCATTAGAGCTGCAGTATGAAGCTGCTGGAATGTAAGTATCCTGTAGCAAGTGGTTTACAGTGTGCTAAAATCCATTGCAGGCCACTCTTGAACAGATATACGTCAGAAAACAAAGTGGTGTCTTACATGGCGCTGCAGACAGTACCACCTCATGTGTATGACACTCAGGATGAAACTGAAGTGAGTTTCGTGGATACCAGCGAACTTGATTACACACCTACTCCACATTCCATACGGACAACACCGGCGCCATCAACAAGGCCCTCATCTACATCTACATCAGCTCATCAGCACCAAACACCACTGCGCACACAACAAAGTTCAACGCCACAGCAAAGCCATTACCATCAACGCTCAACCCTACAACCACCCGCATCTAGCAACACACATACTCATCACATACACAACAGTTCTGCTTCAACAAACAGTCTCCCATCAACAGTTCCTATTGTATCAGAGGAGGAGGGATACGACGATGAAGAGCCATTGTTTACAGGAAGGTTGATCCAGAGACGGGCGACACACATTCAGGATACAGAAAGCCTTCCTGATAATATCGTCTTGATTAGCAGTAGTAGTACCAGTCGAGGATCGCTTGATAAGAGTCAGAGGCTTGCGACATTAGAGCAGCTCAGGGAACAGAGATCTCAGCGACAAGAACGAAATTCCTAATGACGCCTATCTTTGTTTATAAATACAGCATCGACTAATAAAATCCACCTTGTATATGTTTCAGAACCATGCAAATGCAGCAGTAATCGGGTGACAAAACTATAGCATGGCAATTTAAGCTTTCTTCCCGTAGGATCCCCTCATTTACATTTGAGAAATCATTCCAGTTTTTTTAATGAACTGTAAGAAACGGCACGGTTTTTTTTTGAACTTGTAACATACCTTGATTTGTCCTTATCAGTTGACATGATGACATGATGTGCCCTGGCATGTCATATCCGCTTATATCCCTATGTACACAGACACAGATCAAGTATAGTCTCCTGCTTATAGTGGCATGATTTGATGCAATTCAGCGATTGTAATCCTCGTACAGCTCTATTTCTCTCATATCGACGTCATACTACCATCTTCTCTTTTGATCCATGTGAAGAGGATCCTTTTCAGTTTAATTCATTGTACAACAAACACCAAAAATGAAGGCATTTTGATTTAATTAACCGACTGCTTACCATGTGCCTGCAATACAATACCAGATGTTAAAAAGGGAGGTGCCTGGATCAACAGTGCTTTACTATATGTGCTACTCTATACTCCAATGTAAACAAGTGGGCGTAAACACTATCCACGACAAAAGGGTCAACATGAAGAGAGACTCCAGCAAGAGCAGCAGTTCAAGAGCAGGGTAGAGGATGTGATTGTTTGTACCACTCCATTCTCGGTCTACTCTATATAGTTGGCTACCCACATTTATATACGCTACTACTCGTTATTTTTCTCCTGTTTCCTTTCTTCTTCTATTATTTATCTCTCCGTACCAAAAACATGTTTCCAAGCGAAGGATATTTCTTTCTCAAATCTCAAAAGACGGGTCTGGTTTTGGACACTAACGGCGAAAACGAGGTAAAAAGCACAAAATTCAAAGAGAGGCGCGACCTAAAATTGATGTGATATGTGTGCAGGCTGGTTCTAAGCTTGTCATCAGACCCAAGGTAGAAAGTATATCAGAACGTGGCCGTAAAGCGATGAGTGCTCACCACATACTGTGCAGGGCGACGAATCTCAAGTGGAAAATCAAGTATGAAACGAGACACACATGCAGTTGCTTTTGCGGTGATTAACATTCGCGAATAGCTGTGGTCCTTTGAGCAAGGCTATTTGATTTCAAAAAAGACTTCACTCGGTAGGGGGGGGGGGAATAGAACAAAAGGAATGTCAAGAAAGATGGAAAACTGATGATTTTTGAATGACTGATTTACACAGTTGTGGGCATTGAGGGAGGTAAAGTACAGTGAATGCTAAAAAGAAATTCCTTCACATGCTTAATAATGATTAAAAGGCGATTTGAGGTCTGACAAGAGAGTGTTGCAGTTTGACCGCAAGAAGACCATGTAAGCCCTGATCAAAGTATTTTCCAAAATGATGTGAAAATTTACTGTTTTGTACCTATACTGGCAGGGCTCATAACCAAAGATGGGGAATTCGTGATGGATTTGTCTATCCAGTTGCTGATCCTCGGCTTGTACTCGACACCAAGGTACGTTGTCCATCATATAATCCTGAATCGCGCTCATCACCCAGCAACATGTAGGAGGACAGTGGCTCTCCAGTTACCGTTAGTTACCGCAGAACAGAAGACAGTGATCTCCAGCAATGGTACTTGGAACGATTCGAAGGAGACTACTAAATATTCCCAAGTACATGTATTATTAAGGCCGGCTATGCTCACTTTTTACTCCACTCTCACACACAGACTCTCCATATTCATATTACCTTTTTCTGCGTATTTCTTTTCGGCTTGTAATACCTGATATTGTGAGGGGTTGATTCACCAAGCGAGAATCCCGCCAATTTCCGTTACCCAATAAAAAAATTTAAAGGGAAGCTTTTAGTTTCTCTTTTTCTCTTTCTTCTTGTTCTTTTCATTTATTAAACTCGAGATCATGAGCCAACGTCAGTCAGTTCCATTGGGAGAACTTCGCCATGGCAATCAGGGCCAAATTGATGCCGTCAAAGAATTGGAGCAGCTCTTCTGTCTAGACAAACCAACATTATTGAAGGTAGTCGACTCATTTCAGCAAGAACTCGTAGCAGGCTTGGCTGATGATAGGTCTAGTGATTTGAACATGATTCCAACCTATGTTACTGGTAAAGGAAATTAGTGTCAAAAACATCGCATTACATGTACTAATTTGAACAAACATCTAGGTTATCCAACAGGTGATGAAAAAGGCACCTACTTGGCATTGGAGATTGCTGGCATGGATATTTATGCTTGTCAAGTCAAGCTGAAAGGCGACTCGGGGAAATTAGCCATCAATCAGTATCAGTACAAAATTCCTCAGGATCTGGCCAGTGGAGACGATTTTGCAGTTCTGATCGACTATGTTGTTGAATGTATATCTGATTTTTTAATGCGAGTGGGAACACAAGATTTATTTGTATACCCCATGGCTGTATCCTTTGGATTTGCGATCAAGCAGACGAGATTGGATTCAGGTCGAATTCTGTCACTGGGCTATGGCCTCAGCTACCCAAATGGTGTTGGTGTGGATATTGTCGAATTAATGCATGAACGTATTAGGTTAAAGGGTTTACCCATCAAAATCGTAGCAACTGCCAATGGTACCATATGTCGACACAATTACCCCTGATTTCAGAAACTAACCTTAATGTACTAGATTCAGTATGCACATTGCTTGCTCATGCCTACCAACATCCAACCACCCGCTTAGGCATCGTCCACAGTCTTGGCACAAATTGTGCTTATTACGAACCAGTGAGAAATGTAACAAAGTTAAGAGACCAGAGTGTGACAAGAAATACAGATATGATTATGAATACAGAGTGGTGTAATTTCGGTTCTTCACGACGTACACTGCCCTGCACATGGTTCGATCGAAAGCTGGCTCGCGAATCAATTAATCCGCAATTTCATGTATTTGAGAAGATGACAACCGGTATTTTTCTCGGCGAGCTTGTGCGAAACATTCTAATCTATCTGGTTGATCGAGACATCTTGTTTGGCGGTGAATCTTCAGAAACACTCAACACAGCCCACAGTTTTGATACCAGCTATATGTATGTGTGTGAGGCTGATGACTCGGAAACGCTGGAGGATACTCGCATTGTACTAGAGGACATGCTGGATTTATCTAAAACTACAGTCGGTGATCGTGAGGTAGTGAAGAAGGTTTGCGAGTTAATAGGTACCCGTGCTGCTGTATTGGTAGGAGCTTCCATTGCAGCTATTGTACAACATATGACAGCAAAGGGTATTGGTATGACTGAGGAGGGATATGCCATTTGTAAGTTGCAGCATGATAGAATGTTCCGCCTTCCCGCATACTGATTATCGTCTTCCACCTACACAGCCATCAGCGGAAGTATATACGAAGATTATCCATCATTCCATCCTCGTGTGTGCAAAACCATCAAAGACTTGATTCCAGAACAAATTGCTGGTAAGCTCTCAGTAGGCGTCGTCAAACATTCTCGTATTGTAGGAGCAGCCATTGTTGCAATGATGGCTGAGAAAATTGCTGCCACCACAGCCTCATTGCAATCATAAATCAGCATGGCATGATATTATATCAATCATACATACTGCTATATATTTTATATTCACCCTGCCTCTCTCTCTCTCTCTCCCACTGCCCTTGAAGACAGTAAATGGGACGACTACATACACATAACCTACATCTATACCATAAAATTACAGCCGCCCCTCTCTCTCTCTCTCTCGCTCGCCGAAGCCCAAAAACAAAAAACTGTGTATACAAAAAAAAAACACCACTCTTTGTCATATATATCAAACTTAATTCTACTAAAAAGAAATAAAACAGCACCTCAAAAACTATACATTTAGCACCTGTGCATGAGAAAGCTAGCTTTGCATGTTGCAAAACGTTGGATTCAAGAGGCTGATTGATCAATGTCCTTAGGCGAGATTCGGCATATAAATCACAAGCTCTACTTGGCTGAGATGCTTGAAGATTTCTACATCAAAAGATGGATACTGCATGCTTTGTGTTTCCTAATGTGATTCGTGATGCATTTTAATGATACGTTGAAAAACGCCAATCAAATCCATGGCCAGACCTTTCCTCTAGCGTCAAGCAAGTCTTGGAGAAGGTGTGCCCATATGTACTCCTCCTTTCAACCTGTAGGCTACGTCTTCAAAGATATTTGGCCTCTTTTTCTCTTCATTCATTGCGTATCTTATATAATCACAAACAACATGACACTAAGAAGAAAAGCGATCAATTTTGACGAACATTTCTCACAGCTTATAGATATGCTGAATGGCATATACTCATTCTCGTCCAAACAGCAGCAAATTAAGGGCATGACAATGTACCAGTATCCTTTTTTTTTTTTTTTTTTTTTTTTTACAGCATGTCTTATGAAACTAACCCACGAATATAATTTCCGTATACTGTTCCTTAACCACGGTACTAATCTAGAGTTGTGTATGACATGTGCATAGCTATTCCTCGACCTTTTACAGACAAAGTATTCACAGGCATAGCAGAATACATTGATGGACATACAGTAAATGAATGCAAGGTAAATTGGAATACGTGCAGTCCAGCCTTTCTGTGCTACCCCGCATTTGCTGACCACATCGCTAGATGATGCTGACTCATGACGATATTGTCACTTCCTACGCTCGAGCATTCGAACGCTTTGCATTGGCAGCAGAATACATGTCAAGGGGATGCTGCTATCTTGATCGAATCAATACATCTAGCTACACAAGCGGACGCAATTCCAGTGCCCATCATTCGGGGAAATACAGAAAGCAAAACGTGGAAGCGTTGGCCTTGCTGTTGTGGAAATCCAATGTACTGTTCACTATTCGCGATCGATACCAGAACAAGCTCTTTTACCAAGTGTTTGAATGGATTCGACAAGACCGCGATGGAGATGATGCGCCTCACAGCACGATCAAATCAGTCGTTACTTCACTAGTACAAGTCAACTCCTTCACAGAACAGCCCTTACAACTCTACATTGAGGAATTCGAAAGACCCTACTTGGTTCACACCAAAAGATACTATGAGGCAGAGGCTGCTCGCGAAATTGCATCAGGCAGCATCAGCAATTTCATGCAGAAAGCCAATGAGCGATTACAGCAGGAGATTATGCGTAACAATCAGTATTGTCACTCAACATCACACGGACGCATTGTTAAAGAATTTGAAGCTCAATACATCACTGCGTATCAGGATCGCATCATTGATGAATTTGAAGTCATGCTCAAGGATGAGCGTTTCAGAGGTAAGTAATGGGCTGATTTCATCAACAATGTAGGGTCTAACAGCCCCACTAGATTGCACATTGGCCTATACCTTGCTGAGCAGAATTCCCGAGGGACTCAAGCCAATCTTGGACATTTATGAAAACTACGTTGCGAAATTGGGCAAAGAAATTGTTTCCCGTTTAGGCACCAGTGTCACCAAGAATCCTCGATCTTATGTGGACCAATTACTGAATTTGCATTCGAAATACTACCATGTCAATCAGCAAGTATTTTCGTCAGATCCTCTATTCACTGCTTCTGTCGATAAGGCATTTAGAACGATCATCAACGATACATTAAGCGCCAATGTGCCTGCCAACGGCCCTGAGACGTTGGCTCGTTATTGCGACATGATGATGAAGAAGAATGCTGGCAAAAGAGATGTAAATGCAGGAACACCAAGCGCTGGAAGTAAGAGGAAGGGCATCAAGAAGCCAGTTGCTGATATGGACGAAGGTGATCAGGAGGAGAGATTGATGAAGATGGTAAGGCTGACATGGGAGTACATACGTAAAGGGTTTTCATCCATATGCTTTTTTTTTCCTTGTAGGTGACATTGTTCAAGTATGTCGATGACAAGGATGTATTTCAAAAGTTTTATTCCAGAATGCTTGCAAAGCGTCTCATTTATGGTGCTTCGTCGTCTGAAGAGCTGGAATTGAACATGATCAATCGACTCAAGGAGATTTGTGGTGTCGAATATACGAGTAAATTGAACAAGATGTTCACAGACATGTCATTGAGTAGCGATTTGAATGCAAAGTTCAGAGGCTACATCAAGGGCAATGGTCAAGGTTGGTTGCACAGTGGATAATCGCACAACAGCAGTTAACAATCACTTTTCCTAACTACAGGTCTAGTCAACATGGATATACTGGTGCTTACTGCAGGTGCCTGGCCATTGAATCAAAAGGACGATGCAGGCCCAGATACCAATAAACTACAGATACCATCCGTGGTAAGAGTTCAGTGGACCGGAGCAAAAGCACACACATCTCATCAAGATGATACCTCCATTTGTAGCTTGAAAACAACATCACATCATTTGAAAACTTCTATGGTAATCAATACAGTGGAAGACGTCTATTATGGCAGTGGAACTTGACGCGTGGTGAAATCAGAATCAACCGCCTGGACAAAAACTACGAACTTCAAGTCAGTTTATACCAAATGATCATTTTACTGTTATTCAATCAAGGTGTATCGCTCCCAGTCAATGAAATTGTCAATCAGTCGGGTCTCAGTGTGTCAGACACAATGAAGAGCTTGAAACCACTGGTGGATATACAAATTCTAACCATCTCAAATCAGCACGAGGCATTATCTCAGACTAGCGAAATTCGAGTCAACGGATCATTCACAAGGTAAAGTGCTAGTCCTATGTGTATGTTTGCCAGCTTGACAGCTGATGTGGCGTATTTAGTAAACGTACAAAGATCAAGGTAGCAGCAGCAGCCTCTCAAAACGAATCACAGCAAGAAAGCCAGGCTGCTAGAAAGTCTGTAGATGAGGACAGGCGCATGTACTTGCAGGCAGCCATTGTACGCATCATGAAGTCTAGGCAAGTGTTGCCGCATGTGCAATTGATTCAAGAGATCATCGATCAAGCAAACTCGAGATTTTCACCATCTGTTATTATGATCAAGAAATGCATTGAGCAATTGCTGGAGAAGCAGTTTATTGCAAGACAAGAGAGAGATACATACGTTTATGTTGCATAAATAAAACCCACTATCAAAGATGAACTTGCTACAGGGCTATCATCCACGATGTGAACATTTAATCAAGACTATAGAATGAACGGTTTATTCGGTATATGGCCCGTTTAGCTAAAATGTGTATACAAGTGCTAAGTGAATGAAGATGAATTGAGGATTCAATGATCAAATCTATGTATTGAGCTAGCACGGACATCACTTTCTCTAGGACAGCATAGCAAGTTGGAGATTGTTGCACTTGATGACTGTGAGCTAACAGAGTTCCTTGATTGCAGCGTTAGCCGATCATCTTCTTCGTCGTCCTCATTGTCATTGTTTTCTTGAGAGGAAGGGTATGATGCAGCATAGGAGGAAGCGGGAGACAAAGGTTTATACATAGAGAAGCCCACGTTTAAAGACTGAGAAGATATGAAGGCAGTGGTATTGCTGTTGATGTCATGCTGATGATGGAAGCTATCTTCCTCAAAGTAAGAGGATGACTGGGAAGACAAACCTTCGTCTGTGTATTGACTAGCATGACTCGCTGATCGTTCCATCTTGCGACGCTTGTACCATTGATGCTTTCTTTCTTGTGCTTTCAGTTTGCTGATCTCTTTTGTAAGCTTGACTTTTGTCTCTTCGTATCGTATCAGCTCAGCTTCCATGGCAAGTTGTGTCAAAGTGTCACGATGCATGTTGCTCTGGGCCAATTGATTCTCTGTTGCCTGCCGACTCTGAATTGCATGATCTACTTGCTGTTGAAGAGATTCAATTTTTCCTAATCGCTGTTCTGATAGGCGCTTTGCATTTTCTTGTCGTTTCATCATGATTGCCCGTTGCTGACTATCATCATGATGATGTTGCGACATTGTTACATTCTTTGCGGGAGGCGTGGTGCTCTTCTCTCGCAATTTAGATCTGCTGGAACCTCTTTTATAGTGATAGCCTTCTTCAAGCAGCTTCTTTTTGGCTAGATCAAACAAATCGCCTTTTTTAGATATCAACAGAGGGTTATCCAGTGCTAATTGAATTGATGCACGGTTGATGGCTTCCTCATAGGATGTCAATGCTCTGCTTGTCTTTTTTCCGTAGATGGTAGCATTTGCTATGATGAATTCTTTGGTAGATGTTGTAGACGCTGTAGTCTAATGCAGAACAATAGAAGGTTAACAGAGAAGTTTCTCTAGAAAGTCTACTATAATCTACTTTACGGTATCATTTGTGGTTGTCAGGGCTACAGATGCAAGTGGTCCTTGTATCCGGTGCGTTGCATTCAATTCTCTCACTGCCTTTTTGAATTTGATAGAGTGAAAAGGTAGCATGTTCAAAGCAGATAAAAACTCTGATAGCTCCTGCTCAGTAAACTGAGCTATTTGATCCAAATCTTGATCAGTTGCGCCTGCGTCAATGAATGCCTGATGGTATCGTTCAAGCTGCAAAGTCTCCAAGAAGTCTTTAAGGGTTTGGTGTATCGATAGAGTCATGCTTGTGTATATGAAAGAGCGAATAAGAGGAAAGGGAATAATGCAAAATGTAGGAACAAACAGTGTTGTAGCGAAAATCTCTCAATTATTATCTAATCGGGGGCTGGAAGGAGAGGAGGAAGTCAGTGTTATTTATACGTGAATTTCTTGCATCAAGTAAACAGACGAAAAGCATCTGTCCTGTGGGTGCGTCCTCATAATTTGACTCATGCCAGGTAGAAATTTATCCCTCTCATTGGTTTATAAGCAAAAATTTCTCGGTGGTGGTCTCAGCCACTACCCACACTTTCTAACGGAAGCGTACGATCCCTTGGCGCCTGTATGCCATCATGCAGAATCAACGAATTTGCAACAGGGATGAGTACTGGATGCACAAATGTCCCTTTTTCTATCTCTTTGCAATACTGAAATGACGCTGCTTTTGTATGTTGCTGTCTTCTTTCTGTTCAGTGGCTGTTACATTCTAGACATTACAGCTTTGATTCTGCCCAAATGGTACAGTGACACTAAATGAAACCTCTAGATAGCTAAAATTTATAGCTTGAAATTTTTGATGTAGGCTGAAATTTTTTGTCCAAGATCCAAATCACTATTCTGAAACCACGTATGGACTATTCCAAAGATGCAAAAGGTGAGATGTTGCATTTTCTGATGGCATGTACCATAGCTGATACTCTGCTTGCAATGCACCGATAGTTCCACGGGCGAATGCACATCTCTTCCTCAGCCAAATGACTGTATAGAAGGTTGGTACATTCAGATTATACCAAGGAGGCATTTGAAGCGATCTATTGACATGCCAGCTGTGGTATTTCTTTAGTAAATGGCTACATATGTATAGTTTTACTTAGATCAAGATGATAGGCAAATCGTAGTTGCTGGTGTGATTCTGGCTACTTTTAGTGTTACACTGACAATGATTGCGCTCACAGGGATCATATCCAGTCAAAGAGATAAGAGGGATCAAGGATGAAAGCTGATTGCAGGGTAAGATAGACATTTAATGAATGTATACACTCCAGAGTTGATAATTAATTTAAACAGGATGCTTGTGCTTCATGGTACTACATCGTTTATGATTCATCTTTAACTCTCTCATCCTTTTTTTAGCTATTCCGTTGGTTGTATCATTTTCAGCTGTGGTCTATTGGTCCAACATCAATAGCTCCATTTTCCAACTAGGCACAAGCTATGACCAATCTTTCATTATGAGTGCGATATCCTGGTGCCTGAACGTTATTTTGGCATTCATTATGACCGGATTCTCGATCTCTGGCAATGGCTACTACCATCTATTGGAATAGCAATAAAAATAAATTACAATACAAAAGATGTTGGTTACAAAAACCACTTGGAAATGGCTAATATTGTGCTACAGTAAATATTAGAGAGTACCACTGCTGAAAATATTTGGCTGGGTGTACGACAGACAAGGTGGAAAAGGGGATTCTGGAGATACTCTCACTCTTTTTTCTTTTGCTCTTCCTCCTCTCTTTCTCTCTCTCTCTCTCTCTCTCTTTCTTTCTTTTTCCTAGGTTATTTCGTATATACACCATTTTGCATACAATTTACATATACCCGCACATCTTTTAAAAAAAGAAGCTTCCATTTCTTCAAGTCTTTGTTCACCTTTTATACATGTTCCACTCTTCCAGTTCAAGACATGAACAATATCTCATTCGTTCAAACACATCAAGAGCAACATTACATAAAAAACGATTGTCTTTAGAATCAGAAATTTCAGGGGCAGATAGTGGATACACTTCGTCCTCTTCAACGCCATCTAGTACATCTCCTACCACTGCCACCGCTTGCTCGCCAGCTACCATTGCAACAGCAGTTGCGGATAATCATGTGACCTCAGCAAACCATGATGTGGTGGTGGTCATGCCGCCTCCCACTGCAAAGAAGAAGAAATCAAAGAGACATCAACCACCTAGACAACCTGATCTTGTTTATTCTTGTCCGAGACCTTTAGCCTTTCCGTTTCACAACGATGACCACTTTTTACCCATTGCGGAAGCGGATCCGCGCGATGTAGCTAGAGTTTCTCCATCATTGAATCGATCTTCCTCTCTGCAATCCAGCAAGACATCAATTGGATCCACCAGAATGTATGAGAATTACAGCTACAGCGGCAACACAAGCCAGAGAGGTCTGGATACCGAGTCGTCGTATAGTCATCAATCTTCTATTCTGAGTACAATACAACGTGGCACCGTGCGCTCAATAAGATCTCTCTTTCAGTTACCTGAATCCCAGAGTCACTCAAGAGATCTGAGCCGTATACAGACAAACAATACCACAAAAACCAACTATACCGGCTCTGCTCCAAGCACAAATCCTCCACTACAAAAATTGGAGATCAAGAAAGGCACCGTTCAATCGATCAAAGACATGTTTACCTTGAAGAGAAACAACATCCAGGTCCAACATGTAACACAGCCACCGCCCAGACAACAAAAAGGACGAGTTGGTGCTACTATCGGCCAATTCGAATCATCATCATCATCATCAGCATCTCCTATCAACTATTCTAGAGTCTCTATCGCTGCTGCATCCTCCAAAAAGAACAATGGTGGCAAACCTCCTATGGCTGCTCTCAAGATGAATGTGACACCTCCAGCATCATCTCAACCCAAATCCTTGAAATCCAGAGCTGCTGAATTTGCTAGCCGAGCCATTTGGAAGCCCAAAGAGCCCAAGTTGACAACCTCCTGCACCACGCCTGCGATAAAACCACTTCCCAAGGATCCCACTGACAAGAAGACGTTGAAATCTGAGGTCAAGAAGATCTCGGCACGAGTCATGGCATTGCCTAAAAAGTGGACTAGTACGACAGCAACTTCACCTCCTGTATCACTGCCTGTTCCCGTCACCGAGGCACCCAAATCAAAGCGATCTCTGTTTTCTTCATTTAGACGTTCCGATGTATCTGCCAGTGTGGACAGCAGCAATCACAAGAAGAAGGGTGTTGATGTGGCCACCACTCGAGATGAGATTACGCCTCCTCGTGTGCCCACCACGGTTGGTAAGATGTGGAAGAGTTTCAAAAGCTTAGTCACTGGTAAAAAATCATCTCGAATTGGCGTGTTATAACTGCCCATCTATCCCTCCCTCCCCATTACTCATGCATTTTCTTTTCTATGATTATGTAATTTCTACCATTGGTTTGAAATTTCATGATGGCTTTCTTTTTTCTTTGAGTTATATGCTATGCAATCCCCCTTTTTTTTTGTTTTTAATATGCCCTTTAGTCTATGACATGTATGCATATACACACACATGCCCAAAGAATCATATACCACTCATCCCTCTTTTTGATTTCCCTTTTTTTTTAAACCAGTTTTTGTCTCTAAACCCATAAACATTTATGATTGGCTAAATGTTGTACAACAAATTAATAAAATACTTGTAAAAAAGTTAGTAATCGCTTACAATTCGATGTGGCATGTAGAGTGATGATATATATATATATATACTGTAACGGGTAAAATTGGACAAATACAGTCTCCTTTTTTCCGGAGAATAGACTATATATAATGCGTGTCTATTTATGCAATTTGTTCATTTATCTTTCTCATCAAATGTCTTCTTCCACTGCTACTCCTCAATGCGCTTACATTGGCTTGGGCGCTATGGGCAAATCCATGGCTGGCCACATTGCCAACAAGCTCGCCTCTTTGAACCACCCTGCTCTCTTGGCTTTCAACCGTACTCAAGCGCGCGCTGAAGATTTAAAAAAGACACATCCTGTCGAGGTGGCTTCTTCTTTGGAACAAGTAGCCAAGTCTGCTGATATCATCTTTTCATGTCTTTTAAATGATGCTGCTGTTGTTGAAACTGTGAAATCCCTCAAGCCCCATCTGAAATCTGGCGCCATCCTCGTTGAATCGTCTACCATCAGCCCCTCAGTTGCACAAGAACTCGCTGCTGAATTGAAGCAAGTGGGTGTTGTCTACCTGGCTTGCCCAGTTATGGGTCCTCCTGTAAAAGCAGCCTCTGGCGATTTGACTGTCTTGATGGCTGGTCCCAAGGATGTTCGCTCCAAGGTACTGCCCTTGTTGATCCCAGTTATTGGTAAGAAGGTTATTGAGCTTGGCGAAGATGTGAGCGAGTCATTGCGTTTAAAGTTGTGCGGTAACTTCTTTATCACCAGTGTGGTGGAGATGGTTGCTGAAGGCATGACATTGGGTGAAGGAGCTGGCGTTGGTCAAGATAAGGTCAAGGAACTGCTTGATTGTGTATTCCCTAACTCTCTTTTGGGTATCTATGCTGGCCGCATGCTGAACAATACTTACCGCGATCAAATTGCTTTCCCCATTTCTGCCGCAAAGAAGGATGTCGGTCATATCACACACATGGCAAAAGAGGCTGGCGTTTCTCTTCCCATCACCGAGATCTTTTTGGAAAATGCCAACAAGGTTCAAGCAAAGCAAGGAGATATTGATTTATCTGGCATCGTTGGAAGTAAGTTGAGAAGGCTGTGTTTTTTATGGCCTCACACTAACACAAAACCTCTGTAGATTTGAGAGAGAAGGCTAACCTTGATTTCGATCTCGAAAAGAAGAAGGACTAAATCTTAACCCCCTTTTCTTTATCTAATTGTATTATTTGCTTTAAATAGAACACATCATTTTTATTCATTGAAAATTGCCCATCTTCCTCGACATCAAGTAATTTTCGGCAGTGAAGAGTTTTGCCAATCCAAGAAGAGAATTTGAAGCAAAGTGTACACATAGTTCGCTCGAAACAAAAGAAATAAATGCGGATCTAGCTAAATATATCTTGCCATGTTTGTGTGTATGTGTGTGGACTATGACAGCGTGAATAGATTCCAAAAAAATGACACTAGCTTGCTTGCTATGACATAAATTAGCCCACATGTGAACCTATTTATGCTCTCAGATAACACTAGCAGTGCTTGAAGCAATTTGAGGATGTTCTCTATAGCAAAGCTGTGCTAGATCATGTCTTGAAACATTGATTGTGATGATGCGTATCGTTTCAAGTTCAAAGAATTCCCTTAAAACTCATAGTTATCGCTAAAAACCATTCTTATGCGATGATTCATCGTCAAATTAGTCGATGCGACTCATTGGTTTTCATCTGAAATATATACTGTAAAACATTCTAAAAAAAAGTAAACAAGCTGATCATAACCTTTCAAAAATTTTGTAGTATTGAGAGCTGGGCAAAGGTGAATAAAGACACCGGCGAATCCAGCAATGGGGAGGAGTTTAGCCCCTCCACCAAGAACACAATAATGCATCTAACCCAACATTGGGTAGCATTGATTTATAGGAAGGTTAGGAGCTTGATCGCAGCGAGGCGAAGGTTCAAAACCATAGTATTCAGCAGTAAATTCGGTTTCTCATTTCCATTGTTAATACGTTTACCAGCAACATATCGCCTTCAAAATTTGCATGAATCAGCTGTACCGAAATCAATATGCCTCCTGTTCGAATCAGAAGTTGTACAGACTGCAGAACTGCCCTTCCAGAAGACTTCAGCTACCAAAGATGTGATTCATGCCGTGTAAATAAACTCTATAAAGCAAAAAATAACCAAATTGTATAGTTTTCAAGCCTTTATATCTTGATATGTAGGCCGTTATGAGCCACCGGAATAACGCCAAACAATTGTACTTGGGTAGTAGTAACTTTCTGACACCTTTGCTCAACTTTTTGGGCCAAAAAAAAACATGGCCAAAAATTGACCAAAATTCATGAGGTATCACTCATCGTTTTTGCTAAAAATCAGACGATCGCATTTTTGACCTTGAAAATGAAGCCTTTTACTATGGTATATATTGGATCAACATGTTTCTCTCAATCCAAAGCCACCTCTGAAACTACTTTTATGAGGTTTTCATATGCAAAATATGGCTATTTTCGCAAAAAACCTCATTTCATATTTTACCGAATTGCTCAATAATTTCAGTCAAAACAGCTATTACAATTAGCACCATTGGAAGCGCCTTGAAAAGTACTTCAAGAATGTATTAGGAAGCATAGGCTAATCATCACAATTTATATAGTCGAATCTCATAAAATAGTTCAAACAAGTCGAAAGTGTATCAGAAATCCTCATTTCAAGTGAAAAAATGTTTGTTGGAGATTGAACCAGTTTTGTGCTGGCAAATGCAATGGCATGCGTATTGTGATGACAATCAATGCTATTAAGCTAATTCGAAGGAAATTGCGAGTCAAAATATGCAATAGCATAGCATTGCTACTCTTTTTTCTCCGATATTGTTGCCAACTTACTAATCAGATAGCTTTGATTATCCAGAATTGCTCATTCAAATACAAATCCTAATGCGAAAATGTGACCTCATTGAAATTAGATGATGGCCTTGTAATTTACTTTATGCTTCTACTAATCAAAAGCAATGACTTTGGCTATGTAATTTGAGCACGCCGATTATCTCTGGGTATAGAAAAAGCAGTTCAATCAATGTCGGTAGATGCTTCGAATAAACTCGTTGATCAAAAATATTACAATGCACATCGTGCATTTTTCTGATATCAAATGAAGCCATCTCAATCAACATGCCGGAATCTTGATGAGATATTTCCAGTGAAGAGCCAGCAATCAATGAAGATCTATCTGAAAATCTACATTCACTTAATAGCAGTTATTGGCATTTTCCATGTAAATGATTGCAGTCATTGGTATATCAATACTAGCCGGTCAATCTTCCTACGCTCGATGACATTTCAAATCAGAGATAATAAAAATCTGGCATATCAAGTAGATTTGAAACAACCAATTAATAGTAAAAAAAAAAAAAAAAAAAAAAAAAAAAAAAAAAAAAAAAAAGGCTATATCAGAGTCAGGAGAGGGAGTTATTCATTCGCTGATGTTGCTCTTGAGATGGCAGCATAAAACTGGTCAAAAGTAAATACAGAACTTACGTAAAATCTACAGCGACTTTTTTGAGATATTGTCATTGCAAAAGACAACGTTATAAGGAAAACTCACACAAGAAAGACTTTATTCGGGCTAAGCATTTGTAATTTTAACCCCATGATCCTCATTTGATCAGCATCATCACAACCATCGTTGTTATCATCAATGTCATTATCAAAAAGGCGTTTGGGCCAACCGGCATCAACACCACCCGCAAAAATCAATTGAAACTCAGTTTGCTTTTTCTGTTCAAGATTGGGCAGATTTCGTCTTTTTTCGACTTCTTTAATCTATTCTATGATGTTCGACTATATAAATTGTGATGATTAGCCTATGCTTCCTAATACATTCTTGAAGTACTTTTCAAGGCGCTTCCAATGGTGCTAATTGTAATAGCTGTTTTGACTGAAATTATTGAGCAATTCGGTAAAATATGAAATGAGGTTTTTTGCGAAAATAGCCATATTTTGCATATGAAAACCTCATAAAAGTAGTTTCAGAGGTGGCTTTGGAGTGAGAGAAACATGTTGATCCAATATATACCATAGTAAAAGGCTTCATTTTCAAGGTGAAGAATGCAATCGTTTGATTTTCGTCAAAAGCTATGAGGTGCCCCTCATGGTTTTTTGGTCAATTTTTGACGATCCCAAAAAAGTTGAGTAAAGGTGCCAGAAAGTAAGTACCAATTGAGAACAATTGGTTGGTGGTATTCCTGCGGTCTAAAACGGCTTCCAGCACGAGAAATCAGTCCTCAAGTGCGGCGCAATTTCGCTGTGTTTTGCATATTTTGAAGTAGTAAGAAGCTATGCTGGTATCTTATTTGCCTGTGTATAGGTTGTTCCCACTGATACAAACGTGGAGCAACATGGAAGAGCCAGATCCGCAGTTACAAGCAGTTTATGAAAGTCTCACACTTGATAATGTAAAGTTGAAAGGCAAATTGAAGTATTATTCGTAAAATTTTATATCTATGCTATTCAAAATGCTAGCCAACTATGATGATTCTCCTTCAGGAGACTTGCCAGCATCCTGCTCCACGTTCTCTCCCTCTCCCTCTTCCTCTTCCTCTTCCACCTTTTCTTTGAGCGTAAATGGTGTATTCTTCCTCTTCATCACTTGTTCATAGAGTCGTCTTCTGCAATCCGAATGATATCGATTTCCTTTTTCACAATCACAGACATCGCTCAGTCCCTTCAGAAATCCACAAGTATACTTTTGAGTACTGATCCATAACATGGGCAAATCAGATGCCAGCCCATACTTTTCCTTCAAGGCACGGTTCACTTTAGTTTTCAATGCAACCTTATGGCTCTGGTATCTGTTTGTATTCCCGTTGACGATGTCTACATGGGTAAAGACAAGTAGTACATTGCCCCAAAAGTCCTGATTCACAGTGTAGGGCGATACTAGCTTGTGAAATGATTCAATGCTCTTGAAAACGTTATCCGAGCTGTATAAGATAACAGGTCAGACGAAATACCTTGTATACCAACTAGATGCGATACTTACTTTGCAGTAATCTTAAAGACCATCAATATGCAATGGATGCCTCCTTTGTGAATAGCTGTATCCAAAAGAGCTTGTTGAATAGTATTGAAAAACTCTTGATCTCTCATTTGAGAATCGCCAAAGCCAGGTGTGTCAATCACATTGATTTGACATCCAAATGTTTCTTTACCGTGCATGTAAGGATGAAGAGGTGCCCAGAATGCTTGACTAGATTGGATTTCCTTTGTTTGAGACTAACTTTATGCAATTATTAAACAGAGATAAACGAGGGCTGTGCGTTTTTGCGTGCCTTTCTTTCTTACCTTGGCCGAAATTTTTTGTGCAAAGACATTGGCGCCTAGCAAATCATTCAGCAAGCTCGATTTGCCATCGCCAGTTCTTCCCAACGCAACCAAGTTGAGAGGTTGCTGTAGATTTGTATGTCGTCTCTGCATAGGCTTAGACGCCAGGGTAGATTCAGAGCAGTATCTCCACCGAGTCTTTTGCAGTTGCTCTGATCGAGATGCAATCATGATTGGGTCTTGATCATGTTCATAACTGTGGAAAGGGCTCTCTGAATCATTCAGGAACGATGTGCTACTATTGGTCATATTTGAAAGAAGGAAAAAATATAAACTATACAGCCTCTTTGCTCCTTAAAACTAACAAATAAGGTATAAATCGTTTTGTCTGGGGTGATTGGATCATGGCTGATTATGCCTAGTTGTACAAGCGCACTTGATGAAATCTGGCTTGTGAATAAATTGGCTTGTTTAAAAAAAAAAAAAAAAAAAAAAAGTCAACGAGGAATGATCTTCGGAAGTATTCAGAAGTGTTGCATGAATTCTCTTAATTTATGGTTTGATTCACCCGGTGACAAGATGGCAACGTGTGCCCAAGTGTGTACGTGTGTGCGTGTATGTGTGTGATAAACAAGAGTGATTATACTATGATGACTCACTCTACACCTCTGCCATTGATCTGATTGGACCCGCATTTTCGAAAACCTTTACAGTTTTCATATGTTGATGGTTCCGATGTTACCCGTGAGACCTGCTGAACTAGTTGATATTTAATAAGTTTGGATCTGGAGGATTATATATAGTGCATTTCTCACTCTCCACTTGTTCTCTTTGCCTTTCTTACTTCTTTTATGTATTGTTTCCATCCAAAAAGATCATTAGCTAAGACGTAATTTCACCCAGAAAATGTGGTCCAAAAAAAGCACACTCCAATCGACGAACAATCGCTCTGCACCTTGCACAATATTTTCTACAACCACTCTTTCGCCTCGCCAAATCGCAAACAAAGCATACACATTGGGATGCAAGAAATTGGACAGAGATGATAAGCGAAGCAAGCAGCAGTATCATGTTCGCGAACGACTGCTGCTCTGCAACACAATCTCAAAAGCTGAGGAAATGTTGAATGCAAGAACAAGACGCACAAATCGACGTGTGATGTCGGCAGAAGATGAGGAGGAGGAGAATTACACTAATTCTAGCCACATGAAGCCTCACCATCATAGCAACAGCGAGCATCATTCTCCCTTGCGAAATTCCAGCGATGATCTGGACGAAGAGGAGGAAGAATCAATACAACACACGCCGCCATCTCATATACCCTCATTATCATCAAACATAACAGCATCCACCACATCTACATCTATAGCATCATCCCCATCCACATCATCCACATCATTGCCAAATACTACGCCCAATTCATCCAGCAGCAACAGCAATTTGCTGCCTCGTGATTGCAGAATAACAATTACACCCAACAGTGAAATTGTAACTTCTCCTATTGCAACAATCATATAAATATTTGTATAAATCCACAAACAAGCCAATAAAACCCTCTTGTTACTTTTTTTTTTTTTTTTTTCTATTTCTCACGGTATGAACATTCGGGTGATCTCGTTGTTCAATTTCGATCACTTACTGTTTCCATTCTCTGTCATGTCAAGAATTCTTCACTTCTAAAAGGCTTTTTTGTCAAACAGGTGTAGGCCATCGTCTTGGGACTACGGAATCATGCTGGCAGATGAGGCCATTCACACAATGAATGATGTACGCATGATGTAAAATCTAATTGACACCAAGTGTCTTAAGACTTGGTTTCTCTTGTCTCTACAGATCTCGCTGACATTAGCGTATTATCGTATACAGTTCTCTGATGTGGTATGGAAGTGGTTCATTTTCATCCGATTTACTCTTTTGATTCAATATGTTTCTGTTAACCAGGGGATTTGCACATCCGCGGTGCCACACAGTGCTTGTATTCCCCCCTATCCTCGGCATTTTGGCACAGTATTTGCCAAAACGTGCGTATAGCTAATTTGGTGACAAGGCTCTCGCTGTAGACACCTACATTTTCAATGCTCAGTGCACCTCACAATGAATTGCACCGGTTCAATGACCAAATTTGTGCAATCGCGATCTCCTTTCAACACCAGATCCGTTCACGAACCAGGGCAATGGATACAGCCTAAGGAGTAAATATGTAAATGGCTTTGCAATAGCTATTACAGATTTAAATATACCACATTCGAACTTCTTCAATTTTTAGTCCTCACTACAAATTCCACTTAAATGTCATTCATTAAAAAAAAAAGACGCTTGCCATGATGCGAGTTGATGGATGAGTTGAAATATCCGGACATCCCAAAGCAACCGTACTACATTTTAATTAAGCGAGTGTCCAATTAATACAATTTGTAGGTATATTCTTCATAAATTAAGCATATCAGAGCCATAGCAGTACATACGCCGGCATCCATAGATTGGCTATCTTGCCTGTAAATGGCTGTATTTTGCTACTATTATCATAGAAGGATCAAGAGCAACACCCACCATTTGCATGTGGTGTAACAGGAATATCTTTTAAGCACGGCACGTTTCATTAAAGGAAATTTATTTATTCTAGAATAACTGAATAGAGACATCAAAGAATTAGGTATCTGGCACTTTTATTTTTATTTTTATTTTTATTTTTTATTTTTATTTTTATTTATTTATTTATTTGCAATGGGTAATTAGAAAGGGGGAAAAAAATGTCTTTTATTTCAAACAAGATCAGAGTATACACATGTTCATTTTCTTCACTATTATTTATTTGTTTTCATGGATGCTCAAGATTTGGGCGTGTCCTTGTGGAACCTTGGCCAATCAAGGACGAAATAGGGGGAAGACCCTGTGTTCGCTGTGGTTGTTGTTGTTGTTGTTGTTGTTGTTGTTGTTGTTGTTGTTGTTGCTGTTGATTATTGTGTCGAGAAGGGTAGTATTGAGGGGTCGAATCAGTGGACGACTGCTCATTACTATTGTTGTTATTACACGGTGATGATGATGACGATGATGGGGAGGAAGAGACGTGGGGAAATAAGTGTGATGCTGGATATTGTGGTTTTGACGAAGATGCCGAAGACATTAATGCATGATTCAGGACAGGTCCAGTGTAGTTTTGATTGCTGTTCGTATCTGCTTCATTCTGTGAAGAGGATGGCATCATTTGTTGAACTAGAGGGCGGATCAGTCAGTGGAATGTACACATATGCAACACATCAACACCTACACGAAAACTGAAGATTGCTATCCATTGCCAATTCTGGATCTACTGAAAAGGGTCAGTTACAAATATAGGTAAAAAAAACAAGAAGCTTTGTCTCAAACCTCTTTGCACAATGTGTTGCATGTGTTGAACAAGCGAGTTGATCGACTATAAGCATATAGAAAAGAGTTAGGTCGACCATCCTTCTGCTCCACCATCCTTCAGCGCTTACATTCTGTTGAGACAATTGCAATGTCCGTAATTGGATAGTCTCATTGTTCAATTCCTGACACTTCCTATCCAGCTGAGAGATCCTTTGGTTCAGGATTTCAATTTGTTCATGGTAGTCCGATGCAGACGATGTTGAGGATCGCTGCTTTCCTGTATTTCGGGTGTCTGGCCTAAAATTGCCGTTGTGTGCTGCTGCTGCTCTTGGTGGTGATGATGATGATGGTGGTGCTGAAAAAATAAACATGGACGAGGAGGAAGCTGGAGGCGATGAAGGAGGTAGTGGTGGCAGCGGCGGAGAAGGGGATCGTGAGCTTTGTTGCTGATTGTTGGACCTGCTAGTACGTCTGGTTATGTCGCATAGTTTTTCGGGTGCGTCTTTTCTAAAACTAGCATGCTTAAATTGCCAAACTGTTCTCTTTTCTGCTGATTCGTCATAGGCCAAGTTTAGCTGGTACACTTTTCTAAACCCATACACTGTTGGTGGTTTGAAAATATGAGTTCTTTTTGTTCTAGAAAAAATTATATATAAATTAATCCATTCTTCTTACAGTTTAGTTGCCTGACAAAACTCTGCCAATTATTGTGTTTGAAGAATTTAGGCAGGATCGTCTTTGAGAAAGAAGTCGCATTCGGTATGCAAATGACCTGGCCATTATCCACCCAGAAAATGTAGTCTTGCGTTGCAGAATCGGATAAAAGACTAACAAATGCACACTAAGTAATCAAGGGCAGCATGTTTAGTTGATTTCATGTGTGCTTACAACCACAGCTTCTTTATGAATGTAGGTAGGGGTCTCTTTTGTAAAGGGCCATCATAATTCATCACTTTTAACACCGATTCCATTAACAAACAAATGAGCAGAACAAGAAAAAGAAGGGAAAAAAGGAAAAATTCAATTCCCTTTTGGCTTTAATGAAAAATTTCAAGGCGAACATGGACATTGGTGTCAGCCAATGAGACTATCCATCCTTTCTACTGCTCTATGTGGTTTTATTACTTCTCCTTTTTTATGAATTCAGCCTTTTGCAATCTTTGCTGAATCATGTCTAGTTGGTTCACAATGTCCTGATCCTTATCAAACATCCTCAAGACCCGCCTGGAGACATCTCTGACAAGATTGCCTGCTGCGCGTGTCCAAAAGCCTGTAAATCCGTATTCATGAATGTGACAGAGACAGGTTGCCAATCTATCCGCTGAACTAGTGGACATGTCCAAAAAAGTAGTCTTTGTAAATGTCTGTTCGCTTTCCTTCTGCTGATGAAGATCCGTGCTGAAGGGCCTAAACAAGAGTATCTTGACCATGTTATGGATCATGTGCATGTGCATCTTGAGCCCTGTCCTTGATTGCTGTTCTGTTTCAGATAGACCTGCATTCCATTTTGCCCATTCTGGCAATTCATGTTCCCATAGCTCCACGTCTCGCACCAGCGTCAGCACTTCGTCCACGTCTATTTTTCGCACATTGATCTCATTCTCTTCTTGCGAGGGTGATCGCTCTTCGTCTACCTCGTAGAAAAGCGAAACCACTTTACTCAACAGAGACATGAGTCTGGCTTCCAGTACAATGCCCGCTTCTCGAAAAGATCCGTCCCAACGGCTTGGTTCTCTCATCTGAATGGCTGCTTTCCATAGTTCCGCTGATCCTTCGCCCCGAAGCTGTGGTCGTCTGAACCGAAATGTAGCAGAATACACGTCCAAATACAGGAGAGCAGCAATCAGTATTTGCCATGCAGGCTCCTCGCTCTTCCAGTCCGAGGCACATAGTACCCGGAGCGAGATGTTGACCATGGTGTCTGCCTTGAATTCATCAGATGCTAGTTCAGCATCTATCCAAGCCAGTAAGATACCGCTAAGGATGACTGGATAAGGATTCACCTGATCGCCCTTTAAAAGAACCACATCGACGAGCAGCATGGTAGCGTATTCTGCACAATCACGCCAGAGTGATGTCGGCAACGGCGGAAATGTCAAATGTGGGATGGGAGGCAGTAGTGTCACAGAGACAACGTAGGCTGTCAAAATGCACACTTGAACAACAGAGTCTGTACTGAGTAGATGGCTGGGAGGCGGCTGATGGGGCGCATAATCCGGTAGGTACATTTTCAGCTGGTGCATCAAGATGACAAGGTGATGTGGTGCAGTACAAGCAGCGTCTTTCTCTAGCCACTGATAGCGCATGTCCAAATGCTTTATCATGTGAGGGAAATGCGACTGGATCAAAGTGACAAGTGTATCCGCGCCATTGAGTAATGTTCGCATCACATCACGGGAAGGTGCCTCTTGCTTTATGGTGGACAGAATGCTGTCTGGGAGGTTTGGTGTGACATTGAACAGCAGTGAACTGGTTGAAAATACAGGCACAGTGACCAAATATTCATCTTCGGCAAGCTCTTCGTCTTCTGAATCTTCAAAGTAGCCTTCTGCATCAGGATCCCATTGTTTGGGCAAGTAACTTGGGCCAAAATCGCGCATTATTTGTCGAGACAGCGTCTTTGCAAATTCATTGAATTCGTTTAGATTTCGAGTAACAGCATGAATCGATAGCCCGTGTGAGGTCAATGACATGGACCAACCTGACGGCTCCTGCTCTTCCTCGATGGAGACTTCCTCTGGCTCTTGCTTTATTAGTTTCTGACGTTTATGGCTGTCTAAATGGGATGACGGTGGGTTGCTAGGTAATGAATAGTTGCTGCTGGCAGATTCTATGCTGGGAAATGGCTGCTGATCAAAATCTTGTTCTCTTTCGGATAGTGCGTCGTTCACCTCTTCGTCCATGGATTGCATGTATTTGACCAGGAATTCGCCTTCAAGTTCACGCAGTGTATCGTAGAGTGTGAGCACTTTCTGGGACAAATCTGTGAGATTGGGAGGTGCATCTGGATACTCGCACTGCACACTGCATATTAGATGAAGGTATCGCCACTCAGTCAACTAGCTACATACCGGCTGATTCGAACGGGCACAACGGGTACATGTAGGTCGAGTCTTTGAGCACCTGTGTGTATTGGATAGTAAGTACAAGAGTCGAGACTGTATCAGCAGGGCTGCATGTGAGCTTACTTTGCTTTCTTCTTTCTACATCTTAAGCAACTCAAGTCTTTATTAGCAGAGGTGGAGGGTATCGAAGACTTGGCTGTTTTGCCTGCCATAGTGTGCTGTTTAATATTTGTCTATAAAAGAAAAACTTTCAGTTACTGTTCGGAAGCATTTGACGAAACATTTCAATTTACAATCGTCTGTTTCAATATCCGAAATGACGTCCTGAGGTGTATAGAATGAGTGCCATCATCCAGCTTGGATTTCGCACAGAAAACACATACTGATCTGATCAACGAATCATGGACTGATACTTGATCCTAATCTAGAACGAATGCATTAAGAAGCTTGCCTGGAAAAAAATCGAGGGATTAATGAGTCATGGGCGGATCAATAGCAACAATGAAAGCCAAGGTACATGTGCAACACGCAAAACGAGTATTAATAGCAGCAACCCCGTAGCATTTACCGATACTCAATGCCTCTCAAGTAACCCTGTTTTCCACCCAACCATCATTAATGATGATGCCATGAGGCTGTTAGATGTTCACGTTTATTTTCTAACCTTAAGTGTATAGACATGGTCTTACTCCACGGTTGGATTTGCTATAAAATTTTTACTGGTATTTGCAATTGTAACCATCTTTGATTTACTCTACTATAGCTACGATCTATATTTCATTGCATCCAACAAAAAAGTACTCTTTCTCTTTCTACTATACTATATATTAACGCTTTTTCACTAATGCCCGCTTCTCATAAAAAGACCCTCTCATCCAGCTACTACGATGCTGGATCGTTTTCTAGCATCGCATCTCAGGCCACATTGACTGAATTACCAGCAAGATCCAATAGCAATCAGACCATCAATCGCCTTACTCGACAGCAAACCAGCGAATCTGTTACGGTGCCTCCTGCTGTAGCCGCCATCGGACCTGCCATGGATGCGCCGTTACCTTTCAGACCCTCTCTATGGAGAGCCAACACCATCAACTCGAGATCCATGAACAACACGCCTGATCTCGAGCGAGGAGCAAGCATCAAGTCCAACTATTTTAATAAACTTGACCGAGTGTCTACCAGCGCATCGAATAACCACAACTCCATAACAGGAGCAGCCTATCAGACTGATCTCAAGCGAGACAATAGCATAGCCACGGCCATCAGCATGCGGCGGGCCGACATCATGGTGTCCAGAGACAATCCGCAGCATTTACATCAGCATCGCATTAGCGGCGCAAGAAACGACGATGAAGACACTACCATTCATGCAGACCTGACAGACAGCCTTGATCAGCACAGCCTTCATGCAACACCATGCGTAAAAGACGAGCTTCTATACGAGAAAAAGAAGAGTATCATCATCTTATTGGGACGATTACTGCTCAAATGTGGGTGTCCATGCCACAGAGTAGACGAAACATTGCAACATACATCCAAGCTTCTCGAACTGGATGCTTCTTTTTCCTTTTTGCCTGATTCTGTCCTGATCACATTTACAGACGGCGATGAGACCCAGTCCATCATGGTCAAGTCGCCTCAAGGTTTCGACAACGGTAAAATAGCAAAGATCAATGATATCATGAACTTTTTCCAGCGAGGTGAGCTGGATCTAGATCGCTGCCTGGTGCTTCTCCATGACGTTGCTACAGCGCCTCCAACCTGTGGTGTGTGGTCGACGGTTACCTTCTTCACACTGAGTAGCTTTACTGCCTCCGCCATGATGTTTGGAGGCACCTGGGTCGATGCCAGTATCAGCGGCTCCCTTGGCTTGCTGGTGGCCATCCTGTACATCTTGTCTGCTCATTTTCCAATCTACGCCAGAGTGTTTGAAATCTCGGCATCCGTTGTGGTGGCCATCATTACTAGAGCGTTGCATAATTACTGCTGCTTTACAAGCGTGGTTCTGTCCGCCATCCTTATTTTACTGCCAGGCTACACAATGACGGTCGGTGTGGTAAGTATGCTACATATTCTGAGTGTATGCACACATATTGATTACATTTCATAGATTGAACTATCCGCAAGACATGTCACTACGGGTATCGTTCGGCTTGTCTATGCTGTATTTTATGCATTTCAATTGGCGTATGGATTACAGGTAGGCAGTAGTGTCTATAATGCCATTGATCCCAGTGCTCCAGAAGACGGTTTATGTGGGCAGCCTTTGGTGTCTCCTTGGTTTTATATTTTGCTTTTGCCCGTCTTAAGCATCGCCATTGCATTATCCTATGGATCTTCTCGAAAGCAGTGGATTTCGCAAACACTTTCGGCTACCATTGCCTTCTGTCTCTCCTACTTTTTGGGTAAAGTGATTCCAGATGGTCAGATTGTAGGCAGTATTGCTGCGTTTGCTATAGGGCTCTATTCCAACTTTGCACTCAAGATCACAGGTGAACCACCCTTGGCGCCGCTATGTGTAGGTGTCACTCTGTTGGTACCCGGAAGTATAGGTAAATAAGAGGTCATGGCTTGTATTGAAACAATTTCATTTTAGATAACCTTATTTCTTACATGTTCAGGTGTTCGAGGCGCATATTCTGTATTACATCAGACTGATTTAACGCAAGGTAATTTTCCAATGCAGATGCTGACCATTGCATTGGGCCTCTCGGCTGGTTTGTTTGCTGCTGCCATGATTGTTTATCCGGCTGGTAAAAAGAGATCCATGTACATTTCTTTGTAAAAGTGCCTGTAGACCCGCTTAGTTTGCAGTAATAGTATGAACCTTCCTCCTTCTTCTTTATATCCATAATAAATCATGGCAAAATTTGGCCGTCGGAACATGCTACTTTTATATTTAAAGCTCTTCTAACATTGCATCAATATTTCAAAACTCGATTTTGGATGGCCCAATCTCGAAATCAAAATCGCTTTTGTTAGGGCGATTTTTTTTATGTAGGTAGTAGCCCAAAATCAATGCTGCAAAAGATGTGAGCTGTATAGAAGATTCGTTTGCCTCATAAGACAATTTTCAGAAAAGAGGTTGCGAAATTGAGCTACTATAAGCCCCTAAGCATTTGCAGTTGAGGAAAAGTTGCTTTCCTTAGCATAATTAAAGCGTTGTACTATATCTTTCAATAATAAAAACGATTGTTCGGTGGGGGGGATGGCCGGAACATACTGTTGTGATAACATCGCAAGCAGCACTAGTGTTAAAGCAGTTTATTTATAACTTCTTCTTCCCAAATAGAAAATTAAAAAAATCTCTTTCATATCAAATTGTGTAATGGATGACAGATAAAAAAAAACTGTACCTTATTATCTGACTCTTAAGCAAAGAGAAATTTAAAGTGTCTATTTGAATACTCTTTTATTACAGTTACAATATCATGACAAATGACAGATCAATAGGAAATCAACTGGTTGTAGACCTTCGTTGCTTCAAACAATCAGCCAATAAAATCGCTTGAATACTCCGCTGACCTAAGAAAAAATTTGCGAGGGTTTCCCCCTGTTTTGGTGTGAGGCAAAATTTTAAGCTCCGCTATATATAGCAATATAGCTGTTACTATCATCAAATTTCCCCCAGGTGCTAGAGCATGCCTTACTTACACCACCTAGCTTTTAGATTCTGGCGTTGAGACTCTCAATCATCACTAAAGTAAGTAGCGATAACCAAGTGGAGGCGGCCTATCCACCTCCTAGCCTCGGATAAGTTCTTGTTGAGCTTCAAGGATAGGCACATCCACACAACGTAAAAAAGGTATGCTTCAAAGAAACACAAAAATAATGAAAGAATGAAGAAAAGAACATACTACTCTAAGGGTATAGTAGCATGTAGGCAAAAAGAGACACTCACACGAAGCAAGTCAAAGAAAAGCATAACAAATACAACATCAAAGATGTTCAGAACAGCTCGTTATTGTCGCAACAAAAATGCACACATGAGCAACATGCATGGTAACAATAATCGGATGTAAAGCAACACAAACACACACAGCTGCAAAAACAACAGTGGTATTATCAGTATGCAATGCAACATAATGACTAATGTTGTTTTATGTGAAGCCACAGAGGTAACACAACCAGCAAAAAAAGAAAAAAGTGCCACAAAGTAAACATCATGAATGCATTATCATGAGAAAGGAAGCAACAATATAAACGTTCAAAGAAGTTATATGTCATTGCGACCAGAAGAAAGAAGCTACTTACCACTTACCACAGACACAGATAGACCAGAGAATAATACGCAACCGCCGGAGACAGGCCAGGGGACGAGCATGCACCAAATGCAGTAGACCAGAAAAGACCATATTAGCAGCAGCAGCAATAGCAATACCAGCACTATAGAAAAATTAAAGAACAAACATCATCAGTAGAGACCAGACAAAGACCAAACAAGTTACTTACCTTTCGTCACCACCATAGATAGGCCAGATATTACGCAATCACCGGATATGAACCAAAGAACGAGCATGAAACCAAATACAGTAGACCAGGAAAGACCAGATTAGCAGCAGCAGCAGCAATACCAGCACCGTAGAAAAACCAAAGAACGAGCGACATCAGCAGAGACCAGACATGATAAGCCGAAGAAGCAGGCAGCACAGGTAGCAGAGAAGTAATGGCAGCAGCACCTACGTCAAGCAGGCAAAACGACTATCGAGTCCTAATAAACAAATTTGATTAATGCTTATTCTACATCTTTCTGTGCTCGTTATCGAATTGTACCTAATATATTCCACTTCGAAGAAGCAGCCTCAAGTCTTTCTAACAGTATAATGCAGCGCTATCAGAAGCTAGAGTGTTGTTCTCAGTCAAACCGTTTCCAAAACAGCCATACTTTCATACTAAACGCGTTTTGCAAAAAAAGGGGAAATCGAAGAATGAGAGGGCGCACTATCCGACGTCACGACTAGTGAATTTAATTTCAGTCTTGTACCATGGCAGCCGTAATTGCGGCAATTTAATTTGAATTTGTGCAGTGGGTGTTTTCATGTTCAAGCTTGACTTAATTTGACATCCTTTGAACGTTTTTACCAAATTTGACTATGAAAACTCTCATTATCGTACCCAACTTCCTAATATACCTTTAAAGGACTAACGAAGCCGCATCGAATGGTGTTAATTACATTCAGTTCTCAGACTGAAAATAATGAGCATCTTGCAAAAATATAAAAACAGGTTTTTTGCCAAAATGTCGAAATTTCATGTAAGAAAATCTCATAGAAAGAGCTTCCAATGTTGCCTTTCATCCTTGCAATCAATTTGATCTAATATGTATCATAGAAAAAGTCTTTATTTTTGGGGCGAAAAACGCGATCGTTTGATTTTTAAGAATTTTCCCTTACTAATACACGTGAAAAAAACGAGGATTTTCATCGACTTGCAATGAAAAAAAAATGAGATAAAGTATCAGTAAGTAAAGCGTGGCCAAGAGGAACCGTTTGGTGCTAAACTGTGCGCTTAAAATGCATTGTGGCATAACTTATTCCATCTTGAAAATGGCTAAATTTGGACAGAATTTGACTTAAAAATAAGGCGTATTAGGTTCTGTTTGTTAAGCACAACAAAGAATAAAAGGATTATTGTTTGTAGCTTATAAAAAATGTTCGATATTATAAAATCAAGAAAAGACTTATTTGAATAAGATCAGACACAAAAACTAACGATTTATTGATGAAGACAAGAGTTATTCTATTTATACTAAGTTCTGATTGCCAAAGTAGCAATATATCTTGTACAACGCTTTATCACTTATGGTGAACCTCAGCATTTAGATAGCTGAGATGCACTTCAATTATCATAGCTTGTCCATGTTGTTGCACAACACAGACATATCTACCCATCAATAATACCTTAATCTTCATAGACAGTTGTAGCCCTTCTGGCACAACACTGTTACCGAAATAGTAAAGAAACTGAAGCATCGTTTGATGCCTCTGATGAACTGCACTGTATGAAACTCAGCGTCTACGCGATTGACGCTTTTATTCTAATTCTGAGGCTCAGGAAATTTCTCTTTTTGAAACGCGCGAGTACAGTAATTTTATAGGTTGAGCGTCAATGGTGTGGAATAAATCCACTGTGATCTGCATTCCGACAGTTTATCCAGTTACCAGATTTAGATATAAACTGTCTGTACACTGGATTAGATGTACGATATCGATTTATACTATAAGAAGATATGGACTTCAGATACGCTAGTACTATAAGATTCATACTATATAAGATATAGGCTATAGATGGCACCACGGACATGGATGGCGCTATAGACTTGTACTTGTATTCCGACATTGACTACGGATGTTTACCATATCTGGATAAGCACCAAGATTAATGCAATATGAGCTTGTTGCTTCAGATGTGCACTTTATGATCCACGCTATAAGACACATGCTTATATCCGTGATACTAGCTACAGATACTTTATGTACTACAGACTTGTACTATATATGAGACATGCTATAAACATGCATACGATATGCTATAGACATGCCATATATCCAGATACATGCTAAAGATGTATGCTCAGCGATATACACTCAGATATGTACTATTGATATAGACTAAGTAGACTGTACCTATCGGATACATGCTACTAGATCGATATTAATTATCCGTATAGAAAGGATAGATCAGGGTACTTCGGATGAGAGTCTAATTATTCATCCAGATAGAGCTAAATCATGATTAGCTTGCTGGAGTTGTCTTTTAGCATGATTAGATATTAATTGATCTGAGTTGACTTATTTGTCAATCTAATTAATAGAACCTTTATCCATTGTTACAGTATATAAGAAGGATCATCTACCTGGCCAGTAGAGAGACTTCAGTTTACTTTACACCTGTCAGTTTGATAATAAAACATACCTTTATCAAGTTGACTTTACTGTTTTTTTATTCTTTTTTTTCCGTGAATTTTAGTCTATAAAGCCTCAAATTCCACAGATGGTTTAGATTCGGAGGGCTGAGGACTATATTGGAAACTAACACATTTTTGATAGCCTGGAAGTATGTTTCCATTATTGGAGTCCATTCCTTTTCAGTGATAACTTTAGCATTGCGGATCTTATCCAGAGGGGCCATCAAAGCAGCAGCTTTAGGGATGTAATCACGCATGTAGTTGACTAGACCCAGGAATCTTTGAACGTCAGTGCCAGTCTTGGGACGTGGCCAAGATTCAATGTTGGATAGTTTACGTGTGTCGATGGTTTTCCCTTGCTCAGAGACAGAGAATCCCAGCAAATTGATACTTTTTTGTGCGAAATGGCACTTTTCAATGTTGAGGATTAGGTTGACCTTGTTAAGGATACGAATGACTTCTTTCACATGGATTAGATGGTCGTGTAGACTGGAGCTGAAGCAGACCAAATCGTCCACAAAAAAATGCGACATGGTTTTTGAGGATACTGCGGCGTCGTTGGGTATTACCGTTGTTTGCAGCAGGATCCACGTATTCATATTCGTCATTGAATAGACGTGTCATGACCCGTTGATAAACATTACTGAGGAATTTTATCCCCTACGGCGAGCTTTTGAAACAGTATTGAATTCCGTCAATCAGTGAAGTCCATGAAGTCTTGACTCTGTCTGGCCCAAATATTTCAAATCTATGGAAAGCCGAGAAAGCATCAAATGTAGTGAATACAGAACAGCCAGCTAATTTGTAGAATATGTCAAATATGTGTGGTAGGCTTTGTACATCGTCATCCAGGAGGATGTTGTTGAGGGAGCGAGTATCCAGACACACACGCTTGTTGGTATCCGACTTATTGCCTTGGTTATCCTTTTTGGCAGCAAGTGTTAAAGGTGAGTTCCGCTTGGTGTTTACGGGTGCTTTTTCAATGGTACCGTTAGCTAACCAAGTTTGGATTTGTTCTTGTATCTTAGGTCTCAGTTTATAAGGAATGGGATACTGTGGGATGTTTACGTATTCTCCCTTAACTGCGTTTAGATAGATGACGGATTCTGGGACAGTGCAAAAGCTGTGTTTAGAGATGGATTGATTGGCGTCAAGCAATGGTTTTATTTCCTCAATAAAGTGCCTTTGATCTTCAGTAGAGCCAGCGGGCGAGTTGTTTGGGATCACTTCATCATTGATTAAGTCATCGAAAATCACAGCGTCGTCAAAGTTGTGTGCTACACCCATTTATGCTATGCCGAGTTTAGGTAAGATTTCGTAATCCAAAATCACATCAGTTTGATCGTCATCATCAAATTCGATGATTTCAAAGGTGTGAGTGGAAACTTTGCCATTATAGCTTATATCAATTGGTTCAGTGCGACCCACTCTATTAATAGTGTTGTTTTTACCAGCCAGTTTAAGAATAGCATTATGATTATTTATTACAAAAGGAATTTTATTGCATAAAATGAACTTTTTACTAATTACAGATAATTCACTGCCTGTATCAACTAATCCAATTGCTCTAGTGTTTTGTATTAATAGTGGAGTATACAAAGAGAAAGGATTGTTAGTTACCAAGTTATTGAAGTCTTGTTTAATACTACGACACTTACGAGTGTTGTCGTCTTCTGAAGCAGCAATAGCGTTATCAATCGCTTCATCTTCTTTACTGCTTTTCATGTCAAAGTTAGTCCACTCTTCCTTGAGTTGGTCCATCATGATGGTTCTTACTTGATTGTTGTTTGCTGATTTATGATGAGTGGATTGGCCTTGGTTTTGCTTGGCTTTCTTTGCTTCGTGGAATTCAGAACAGCGATGGCCTTTTTCCCAAGGTTGATTACAGTAATAGCATTTTTTATTTGATTTGTTGCCAGAAGAACGTTCACCTCCGTTCAACTTGGGCTCATGGTTTCTTTTGGGTCTTTTGCTCATGCTTGCGACAAAAGGACCTTCAGATACATGTACTTCTAGACCACTGATCAAGGCTTCGACTTGACGGAAGGACTTCAATCGATGTAAGAATGAGATGCCGAGATGGCTTGATAATGATGTGCGAACACTCAAATTCTAGTAGGGTTGCAAGTTGTTCATGTAAAGACGAGCTATGAAGTTACTATCGGCACACTGAGCAGCATGAGCAGCCCTTATGAAACGTTTGCCGAAGTCAGCAGCATGTTCCCCAGTCTTTTGTCGAAGATTTACCAACTTGTTAAACATGCTGATGGCCTTGGCAGGGGATTCTATGTGATCCATGTTCATAGCCTTTGCTTGCGTGTAAGAGATTGCCATATTCTGTTCGATAATAGTATCAGAGTACCAATTGGCATAGTCTATTCCAATGACATTTGCAAGGTTATCTCTCCAGTTGAGCTCGAGGAGATCAACATTCTGCATTCTGAAAGTTCTTTCAAATGCCTTGAAATATTGATTTACGGATACGAATGCGTCATCTGGGTCCTTTGTATCATCGTTCAAGACCTTGAACTTAGGTAAGTCTCTAACCATTGCACGCTTGACCAGTGCTTGGGATGGGAGCCCTAGGTAAGCCGGTTCTGGGGTGGTAGATATTATCCATGCCCGGGTGGGAGTATTATCGGTGACAGTAGCCACAGGCGTAACAGGAGCGGTTGGGGATTCATCTTGATGGGTCTCCTCCATCGTAATGTCTTCATTTTTAGAACGTTGTTCAGATGAAAGGATGGATGAAGTGGTAGTGTTACCGCCTGTAGCAGTAGTGGGTTGATGATGTTGCTCGTTGTTATTTGGTATTGCCATGGTTCACGTAAAAAAAAGTTGTAAATCTGAAAGTACGTGAGAATGGATATAAGTTTATTTTCGTCAAATCAGATGAAGAGAAGACGGAAGAGTGAATGTCTACTGCTATTTATATGTAAGATTTATGGATTGCTTACACACCCGTCTATAATGGTGTTCTCATGCTAAGTTTTAGTGTCAATCCTCACTTATGCTAAATGGTAATTATTTCAGATATAGATGATCAGTCTAAATACTCTAGGGTGAAAAACTGTCCCGTTCGTTCAAATAATCTTGACTTTTACCCAGTATATTGCCAAAACTCAAAAAGAGAATCCCTCCCATACTGCCTTCGATAGAACAGCTAACAGAAATTACAGCAACATAGAAAACTTATGGTTGGTATATATTTTAACCCCAGTATAACCAGCCAAAGTGGGAAGCGCCAAAAATGTTAGGTGGGTAATTCTAGATGATATAAAATGGTTGGTATCTTTACTTCCAATAAACGTATCGAAGAAATCTAAAAAACTACCCGCGGTATGCTCAGGATATTTAATATCCCAGGAGCATTCTAAAAGTATAAAAGAAGCTAGTTTTTTCATGTTTTTTTCTTTATTTCTTTGCTTTCTTATTTTTTCAGAACTTTCATTATGCCTGCTCGTTTAACACAAGATTTGCGCAACACTCTCCAATCTTTGCTCTAACGTGGTCTTTCGTTCTCAAAGATAGAAAATATGTATCCAGGAATCGGTAACTGTACTCTTACAAGGCTCAGAAAACTCTATTGCCCTGACCTTGCTATACTTGTTGGCGGAAGACCGAAAAAACTTGGTGCTAAAACTATGTCCCTAGTGTCAAGATGACTTTGATCAGGTACTTTAGATAGTTCCGGAGCAGCGCAAAAAAGTTTAAGATTGATGGGTCAAGATATGTCGATTACTGGCATCCGCAAGTCATTGAGAAGAAATGGTCTTAAACCTCGAAGAAAAGCAAAGATCAATTTTGTTAGCAAGACAAACAAGCGGCTTCGATTGGCGTGGGCTAAAAAGCATAGGCATCTTACTATTGCTGATTGGCGTCGTTGGGTGTTTTCGGATGGAACAAGAATAAACCTTTGAGGCTCAGATGGTAATTCTTTTTACTGAACGAATGGTGGCCGAATCATGCAGTCGTATCAAGTCAAGTCTCAGTTGCAGGGAAATGACGGTGGGGTCATGTTCTTGAGTTGTATAACAGCGGAGGGGCCTGGTTATGGTACTACCATTGTTGAAGACGCAATAAACTCGGGCTTGTTTGTCGATATTTCGAAGACATCATTGAACGACACTCTTGGGCACTTTGGAAAGACACCATCTGATGTGCGAATTCAACAAGACAGAGCAACACCGCATACCTCGGGCATTACTAAAAAATGGTTCACCGACAATGGGTTTAACCTAGACGAAATTATGGATTGGCCACCCCAAAGTCCCGATCTTAATCCCATTGAACATGTCTGGCATCTCCTAAAGCTTCGTCTTAATAAGTATCCCACTAGGCACTCTACAAAAGAAGAATTAGAGCGGCGTATTAACATTCAGTGGTACAAAATAACAGAAAAAGAGTGCCAGGAATATAATGATAGTATGCCTGCCCGAATCAACGCTGTCATCAAGAGCAACGGTGGTTCAACTCACTATTAATGATTTTATAATAAAATGTACATTTTTCTATATTTATTTTTTAACCAATAAAATCATTGGATTTTAGTTTTTGAAAAAGTTATAGTTATGTATAGATAGCACTACTTTCTCTCATTCAAAGAATATATATTTCGACTTTGTATACAAAGGAATGACCAAAAACCTGTGCAAAAAGACAAAGTTTTAAACGAACGGGACAGTTTTTCCCCCTACGGTAGGAGCCACCTAGACGGCCACTCAGGAGTGACAGTCAAGGAAGGCAAACGAGCGAGCAGACGAGCCAGATGCTCCAAGTAAGGGCATTTTCGCACACGAGGCCAGCAGGTACGTGGGTATAGCAGCAAAGGCAGCACAGTAACATGACCTGAGCATACATGGAATGTATACATCAGCCAGGGAATGAGGAAATCCGCTGGGGATCTGGAATGAAGCAGACGCTTGACATATATGAGATGCTGCTTCTTTATGTCAACCAGACCAATACCTCCATGCTTCCTAGGAAGGCAGAGAGGATCCCAAGCCACAGTAGGCCAAAACGAGACGATGTACTGGCGTACTACGCGCTGAACCTCTTCCAGCCACTTGTCAGGAACCACAACCACACGCAGGAGATGCCACAAGCCAGATAGCAGAAGGGAAAACCCTACTATACTACGTGCAAAGCTTATCTGATTTACCCTTTTCTTTATTTATTTATTCGTGCGCTTTGTGAACAACAGTAATGGGGAGAGTCACCAAAAATAGCAACGATAAAGGCGAAGGAAAAGCGCAAAGGTTATCTACCCTTCGATTTCCTGCTACTACCAAAGGCTTTGTTTTGAAACAAACTACAATTACACTAGCTGATCAATCTCGCTACGCTTGATGACGGCGTCGCCTTGGGGGGGGGGCTCTCGCAAAAACATTTCAAATCAGAGATAATAAAATCTGCAACATCAAGTTGATTTTCAACAATCAATTAATAGTTTAAAAAAAAGCTATATCAGAGTCGGAAGGGGCGGGGAGTTATTCATTCGCTGATGTTGCTCATGATACGGCGACATAAAGCTGACCATGCGTACATACAGGACTTGTATAAGATCTACAGCGACTTTTTTTTGATATATTGTCATTGCAAAAGACGCGTTTGTTGGGAAAAACCCACAAGAAAATAAATAGCATTTGGGCTAACCAAATGGCCTTTTAATTCCATGTTCCCCATTTATTCAGTATCGCAATCGTCCTTGCTGTTATATCAAATGTCATAGCAAGGTCTCACACTAAAGGTTTTAGGCTATTCTTAGGTCCTTTGGGTAAATCATGCTAATCATGATTTACAAAGCAATTGTTGGGTAGATAGTAAACCTATTTGTATTATAGTTCATCATCATGCTGTAAACCCTAGCATAATGAAAAGTATATAAATGCATCCTTGGGATGCATTCTCAATAAAAGTGTAATTCTTTGGCAGATTCAATTTTACATTGTATTTTGACATAACACTTGCTATCATTGCCATCATCAGAAAGGTATTTGGGCCAGCCAGCAACAACGCCGTCCACCGCCGCCCACCGCCGCCACTAAAACTCAATTAAACTCAGTTTATTTTTCTGCTCAAGATTAGCCAGATTTTGTTGTTTTTCGACTTCTTTAAACTGTTTTGTGTTATTCGACTATGTAAGTAACAATGATCAACCCCTACTTTCTAATACATCCAAAGAGTAGTTTTCAAGACGCTTTCAATGATGCCGAGTAAAATAAATGTTTTCACTGAACTACACAAGCAGTTTCAGATTTTCTGAAATACGGTTTTTGGCCAAAATGCCAAAATTTGAATATAACGTTCTCATCTAAGTGATTTCTGAAGTTGCTTTGGATTCAAAGAAACATCTTGATTTGATATCATAACATAATAAATGTTCAGTCCTTTTGCACTTTACAACCCTAATATGGAACCTGAGTTTCAAGGCATCTATCAGGCCTGGCTCATATGTGGATAATGATTTCACAATCAATCAGCAAAATCAACTGTTATTTTTACCATTTTTCCTTTGATCAATGCTGCCAACCTTTTCCTTGAACGACGGCTCGGAGCTTCAGAGATTTAAGTACTTACTGCAGACATCTTACGCAACCCTTGCATCGTCAATGTCCAGACTAACATTATTAAATATAGAATGCAAGAGAATATTACTATGAACGATATAGAAGGCAATAAAATATTATTATAAACGATAGCTTTATGGCCTGCCACCTACTTTTCATACGCTTCAAGAGCATTTAATACTGTATTGCAGTATGAAAAGGGCGTTGAGTTTGCCAGCTGGCCCCACAAGCCAGAATTAATTCAAATCCAGAATCATAGTTTGTTCCAGATTGGACAAATTTTGATGGTTTTGGATTCGATTAAGCTATTTTTGCAAATTCGACTAAGTAAAATATGATGATCACCCCATGCTTCCTTAAGCTTGTCCCTGGTGGTAGGGCGAAGTGGTAAAACTCCCGTATGCCAACGGGAGGATCCCGGTTCAAATCCTGGTGAACGCAAGTTGTTTGATTTTTTGACGTAGTACTGATGTCCTCGTTTGGTGTTTTGTACTCTATCCATTATCTATATTTTGACGATTTCCGCAAGACTGTACTGGCTCTAGGAGTCGCACTTTATTAGTAGTAGATTTCTTTCCCAACTTAGTTCAAAAAATATCTTATTCCCCTTCATTGCAGACATTGGGTCCACCAACAGTCTTGTCTATCACTCATAGCGACATTTACAGGACTTTAAATAAAACCTGGAGCTCGTCTCCCCTACAAAAAAAATGCTTCCTTAAGCTTTCCTGGAGTACTTTTCAAGGTGCATCCAATGGTACTAAGTAATACAGATGTTTTGAATAAACCTATCAAATGATTTATAAAAATATGAAAAGAGGTTTCTGGCCAAAATGTCGAAATTTTACATATCAAAGTCCCACAAAGATAATTTCAGAGGTTGCTCTGGATCGATAGAAACATTTTGATGTAATATATACCATATTAAAAGTCTCCATTTTCAAGGTGAAAAACGCGATTGTTTAATTTTCGATGAAAACCATGAGGGGTACCTCATGCTTTTTGGTCGATTTTTGTTCATGTTTTTTTTGATCCCCAAAAAGTTGAGCAAAGGTGTCAGAAAGTAACTGCCAAATGAGAGCAAGTGTTTGGTCCTATTATGACAATCTAAAACGGCCTTGGACGCGAGAAAACGCAGCTCAAATGCATTCAAATTTTGCTGTATTATGGATACTAAGGACTAAAAAGTGGAAATACCAGTATGCTACTTGCCCGTATATGAAGTAGATACGTGTATATGGATGTGGAGCA